AAATCATTTGAATTAATTAATTGAAAGATATTAATATGCCAAAAATATTCATTGTTCATCTTTCATAGTCAATATTTGAAGAAAATGAAGAGGTTGAAAATGACCAAATTTATTCATACATGAGTTGCCTTACAACAAGTTTTCAAAAGTCTGTAAAAACTTGAAATATGAACCAAAATTAATGAAACTTGGCATAATGATTGCATATTGTCTAGAGTTAAGTGGTATTTGACCAAATATTGTAAAACTTAAAAATGCTTGTTCATATTGGGTACATAACTCTAATTATTTTTAGAATCGGTAGGAGAAGAAAGTAGTGCAGAAAAAATTACAAGTTCCTTAATTTGCAGACTTGAATAAAAAAAATTGTGATAGTGTACTAAACTGAGCCTCAAACTTGTTGATAAGGAGTATGTTTCCTAACAAAATACCTTGGCAAATGTAATTTATCAAGAAGATCAGCAGAATTATTTTGTGTATTATAACGCATGTGAGAAGTCTTGAAATCCCCTTCTTTCACTTTCATTTTCAGAGGTTAACGCAGACAGACGCATTTTGCCGGAAAACGAATCTGACATGCCACCTCGAGATTTTAACCAAGGAAAGACAACTTGATGTGCTTTGATTTGAGGGGTCACTCACTGCTGAACGAAAATTAGGGACATAGCTATGTGAAGAAATGTTAACATTGCCACCTATGGGAAAACAATTAGTGGACTGTACCCATATTGGTAAGTATGAAATAGTTCATTTCTGTTCAATTTTAGTATTTAAAATGAAATCCCGGTAATGTACCGTATACGGATTGTATTTTATTTCACTTCCTGTTAATTGTAAGATGAACATGGATGCTTTTGTTAGAAAATATTCTAGAAAACTGTTTGAAAATAGCTTTGTTTCCATTAATGGAGAGTGTCGGTTGTGGCATGAGACAGGCGGTAAATCTCATGGGCAAATAAGAGTTAAGTTACCAAATGGTGAATGGCACACTTATGCACCTGCTAAATTATCCTTAATCTTGAAACTAAAACAAATCCCTCCCCACTCTTTAGAATGCTCTCATTTATGTCACAATTCCCTGTGTATTAACCCTTCCCACCTCACACTTGAACCCCATGCTACTAACATGCAACGCATTAACTGCTTGGGTGAAGGTTTATGCAGACATCACTCTACTTATCCTGACTGCATGATTCAGCTGCATTTGAATGGTATGTATGTAATAACAAATTTGCAATTAAAAAAATTAAATATCAGTTTTTTTTGTTTTGTTTTGTTTTGTTTTTTGTTTTTTTATTGGGGGGGGGGGTGCCTCCACTTCCTCCACCATCTCCTCACCTTTCTTTTTTTTTATTTTACTTGCACCTTTACACATTTTTTTATGCTGTGCACATTTTATTTCATACAACACTACATATAACTTTATTTCCATTTTAATCACCAGTAACTACAACCCTGTTGATCGGGATCGATGTTCACTAATCTTTTAACCCTTTTCACATGTGTACACAGAGGAGACGCTGGCAGTTTTGGTTCAAGTTGATACTTTATGTAATCACTCTTCAGAGGACCATTCTTTTTGTTTTTAACAAATTGGTTAGCATATCTATGGCGAGCCATGGCTCGTCTTTTTCTTTGGTTTATTGAGTTTTTATGTTGTTTATAGTACTCTGACTTTTCTTTTATTTTTTTCAGTGCACTGAGTGACTGGGACCTTTTACCAAGGGGAGCACCAACAGCAGTCAGTGTTTTACATATAGCCATATCTATACCATTGTTTGTCCTTAATATGGCTGACAAGGCACGGGATTTTGCATTTCGTGAGTAGGTTTTGTTTTTCGGTAAACTTAGAGACATAGTTCGGTTTACCGACTCGCATTTGTTTGTAGTTGAATTGAATTTCATTTCGTTTAATGCACAAATTGACAGCTTCATTTCAAGCAGTGACTCAAGAATTAATTTGTCTTGTGTATTACATTTTAGTGCACCAGATTTTAAACCATATGCGCGGAGTCCGACAGACTTGTACCACCAGCTTGTTGTTTTGCCACCCCCACAGAGAGTTAAGCTCCACCTACATGAATCACCACAACTTCCTGTGTAACACTTCAAAACCTTAACAGCAATTCTCGGTAAGGAGTTTGACATTTTTTTAAGGTCACCATTATACTTTTTGAAGAGAGCTTTTATGATACCACTACATCTTTCTTTAATGTCATTTGCCAGAACTTTTTGTAGCTCTGCTTTTTGAACTTTAGTGTTTACAGGAAACATTTCATCACTAAAATTTGCCTTGACACCATGTCTAAACTGACTTTGACCCCGATGAACTCTATCGGCAAGTCGATTTGTTCTCCACAAGGGAGATAAAAAGTCCTGAATTGCTTTTTCTAGACCTACAGCACTTGTTGCATCACCATCAGTTGTTACATATTTTACAAGAAGATTTTTTTTACATAGTTTTTCCCCTATTTTATAACCTAACTCTCTTTCAGAAAGAGGCTCGACAGGATTTTTATTTGCTGTACAACAGAAATGACCACCTGGGCACTGGACTTGGAAACCCTCACCCTGAAGCCATGCTCCCACCCAGCACAGTTTATTTGACATGTGGTAAGCAATAACTTGATGTTTGTCTGTGACATCTTCACATGCCAAGCCAATTACTTGTGAGGCTCCTTGGCCCATTTTGTGTCGGCTTGTTATGCTTTTGGACTGATATGAGGCATCCATTTGTATATTGATTGGGTGAGATTCATGTAGGCCAATTAATTTATTTCGTTCTTTTAATTGGTTAATTCTTTCATCCATATCACACTCTGCAAGTGCAACAATTTTTTCACCTACTTTATTGCAAGATTTGATCATTGAAGATCTGGATGGGGGTGGGATACCCGTACAAGCGAGGATCATTCGAACCTGGTCATTTCCTATAGGAGTTTGATACAAAGCAGTTTGTATTGCTCGATTAATTGCAGCTGCTTTTCGACCTGGTCCCTCAGAGGGGACTTCATGAAAAAGTTTATACATTTTAGATTGAAATTCACAATTTTTGCAGCTAAATGTCCAAGTCCACCCTAGACCCTGTTTAACTTCAGATATTAATTCAAAGTTGGGGGTGGCACACTGGGTTTGAGAATGGGAAGAATGCAAGTTGTTTATCATATTAACAGTCATGCCCCTGTCCACAATCCTCATTTCTCTACTGTCGGGGGTTGTAATTTGAGGAAAAGGATCAGGGTTGCGAGGATGGGGGCGTAATATTTTAACATTGTTTGGACTTTCATCAGACCCTGCTATGATATATGACTGGTCATCATAAGATTTTTTCGTCAAAGTTTCAAATTCATTAATTGTTAACCTAGGTAACCAAACAGAATTAAAGGACTTAGCTTCTTTTCCAGACTTGGATACTCTCCCTTTTCTGATGGTATTTCCTATTGCAAACCTGTGTTTTTTTCTTTCACCTTTCATTTTACCTATGTCAAAGTGCACCTATACCTATCAATTTGAAATTGCTTGTTATGATGACATCATAAAAATGGCTGCCTCAGACTTCTATGACATCATAGTCATTTTGGCGTACATTTTTTTTCATAAGATGCTCACTAGGAATATCATATTTAATTGCATATATTTTCCATATTAATAAACCAATTTTCATTTGTAATACCTTTTTAAAAAGGTTATAGCCTCTAGATTTTTGTAGAACTTATTTCGGGGTATTTGAAATAGAATTTCGCTTGTTATTCATTGGGTAATATAAAAAGAGTTTTAAAAAAGGGGTTTATTCGCACAGAAAATATTACGTAATTCAAATATACGCTATTGCGTAGACATGATTGTTCATTAAATCATTTGAATTAATTAATTGAAAGATATTAATATGCCAAAAATATTCATTGTTCATCTTTCATAGTCAATATTTGAAGAAAATGAAGAGGTTGAAAATGACCAAATTTATTCATACATGAGTTGCCTTACAACAAGTTTTCAAAAGTCTGTAAAAACTTGAAATATGAACCAAAATTAATGAAACTTGGCATAATGATTGCATATTGTCTGGAGTTAAGTGGTATTTGACCAAATATTGTAAAACTTAAAAATGCTTGTTCATATTGGGTACATAACTCTAATTATTTTTAGAATCGGTAGGAGAAGAAAGTAGTGCAGAAAAAATTACAAGTTCCTTAATTTGCAGACTTGAATAAAAAAAATTGTGATAGTGTACTAAACTGAGCCTCAAACTTGTTGATAAGGAGTATGTTTCCTGACAAAATACCTTGGCAAATGTAATTTATCAAGAAGATCAGCAGAATTATTTTGTGTATTATAACGCATGTGAGAAGTCTTGAAATCCCCTACTTTCACTTTCATTTTCAGAGGTTAACGCAGACAGACGCATTTTGCCGGAAAACGAATCTGACATGCCACCTCGAGATTTTAACCAAGGAAAGACAACTTTATGTGCTTTGATTTGAGGGGTCACTCACTGCTGAACGAAAATTAGGGACATAGCTATGTGAAGAAATGTTAACATTGCCACCTATGGGAAAACAATTAGTGGACTGTACCCATATATTCCATATTTTGTTTTTTTTTCAGGTAAAACTTGGAGAAATTGATTCATGGTATAAAATTGCATATATAATTTTTGCCTTTTCCTGATGCAATAAAGTGAAATATGAAGATAAAGAACAGTACTCAATTTCGAAAGTCCAATGAAACGATACAAATTTGAAGCAGAGCAAATGCGGACCTCAAAATTTAAAGGTGGGATCAGGTGCCATGGCGGTGTATAAGATGTTTTTCTGAGTCCTTGTTATGTTTTCCCCCAAAAATTTGGGAAAGCTGGTGAATATATATGAATATACATAGTTTAAGATGAACGCTTTGATTGTTGAGATATTATAGTAAATAATTGTTTCACAGTTTGAAAAACCTTTTTTCAACTGGACCTGGATTCAGTTTAAAAATGATATTCAAGACCATGTACTTACGACCAAGGAATAATTGAACATTTCTCCGCATCGGTTGTGATAAAGCTGGATAGAATGAAGTACATGTGTAGTTCTGGAGGTCATCGTCTCTTGTAGGAATAAAGCTGTGCATTGCCTCATTAATTCCAGTAGATAATAATGGAGAGCCTCTATACCAAGACACATTGGCAGGAGGATCACCACCTGATGACTGATATGACAGTGTTAAAGAAGAGCCTTCTGTACCATTGACTCTTAAGATGCCATCTACATCATAGGCATCGATGTTTATGCTGGAGGGAGGCACTATTATAATGAAAATATTGTAAACTTTAAAGGATTTATAAAAGTGAAATGACATCTTCAATATTTCACTACTTAAACAAGTACACTTAACCAGGAAAGACCTATTCAATTTTCAACTAACACTACAAGAAAAAAAACAACGTTCTGAAAACATAGATATTTACAGTATAATTTCAGATAAATCATGTATTGTTTTGGTGGAATGGTGTTTACATCACACGAGTACTGCCCCACGTCCTCCTCTCTGGTGAGTCCTGTTATCTGGAGATCGTATCCCCCTGTCTGTGTATTCCTCACCACTGTCAAACGTTCTCCTCTGGACAGCTTAGGGTTTTTCTGCTCATTTATAAAGTAAGGATACATCGAAGGAGGTCCATCCCAAGACGTTCGTCCATTTAAGTCTGGTGGTGATAAAGGGCATATCAATTTTATCGTCCCTCCTTCCAGTCCGTAGGTGACGGCATTATTTGATTGACTGCAGACTTAAAAATAGTTTTGAATAACATGCAGTTCAATGTTCTAAAAATAAATTCAAGATTATATATTCTGAATTATATTACAAAATATACACGTACCAATGATATCTAAACGTCTGATAAAATTTGATTTTAGAGGAGAAGTAGGGTAAGGTCTTGAGAAATAAAAACCCGGTGAAATATCCTCATGGGGTACATTTTTTTATATTTAAGTTAATTCTTCTTTTAAGCAAAGTATCAAAGTTATAGAAATTTAAAGAAAATTAGTTTTTCGATTTTTCAAAATAAGGACACTTACGATAATTTTAATAGTGAACCCACCACAGAATACGGTTTCATAAAAACTACTTGACTGTATGTATCTGAAAAAATGTAAAAAGCTTTCTATTAACTCAATACAATTATCAATCTCTTTGCCTGTGTTCTTCTTTTATGTCTTCATAAAAGTATTGATGGCAGTAATGGAATTTCATAGAATACACACATTAAATGCAAAGTAAAAAGAAAACACTTATAAGAGAGTCTGAAAACAAAAATACATATAAAAAAAATTATATAAATGATGCGGCCTTTGGATATATTGTACGTACCAAAACGCAACCTACAGACTTGAAGAAGAAACGAAAATAAACAAGAAATGAAAGACCTTGATCTGTGTGAAGTCTTATCCATTATCCTTTGGTACTTCCTTGTTTATATTTTGTAGTGTGTGTGTTGTATTAGAAAATATTTAATATGCGAGAAAATTGCTTTGACGACGCGCACCGCTATTGGTGTCAATATCGGTAACGTCAAAATGATGTAAATTGCGCAACGAATAACGATTTTTGACTTTATCTTTCGGTTACAAAATAACTATAACCCTTACATTATAATTATAACCTTAATATGTTTAGCTCATTGGAGCTGAAAGCACAAGTGCATGATTGCCTTCCATCTGGCGTCATTCTGTAAACTTTTCACATTTCGACTTTTTGTCAAGAATCACTATGTCGTTTTCAATCAAACTTGCCATAGAACAACCTGAGGCGAATTTGACAAGTTTGTTTAATTGAAGGGTCAAGACTTCTTCTAGTGAATAATCTTAATTGGCATTCTTTAAAAAAACGATTTCCGATTTTCTCAAGAACCACTCGGCCAGAAAAGATGAAAGCTTCATTATAGGTATATATGTAGAGTGGATTCAAGTTCGTTTAAATCATGACCTCTGGGGTAGGGTGGGGTGGGGGGCCACAGGGGGGAATCAAAGATTGTATAGGAATAAATAAGAAACAAACACTTGAAAATTTTCTAAAGAGCAGTATTTCCCTTTCTAAACAAAAGTTATATTGATTCTAATAATTCCAATATTTAAAGTCTCAGATCTTCTGCAAAAATGAGAATAATCTAAATACTGTTTAATCTGTCATCTTATTTTTATAGTTGCAATGGCAAAAAAAAAAAAAAAAAAAAAAAAAAAAAAAAAAAAAAAAATTAGCAGAGTTTAAATTATCATTATCATTTAGCATGCCTGAAAAGTGATTATTGTTAATTACCGCCATGTAAGCTGAAATAAAGTACTGTAAAGTATGTTGAGTATAGAAGATAATTAAGGATAGAGGGAACGTAGGCCTTCTCAAGAAGAATTAACAAATGTATAATCATGTAGTAAGAAGAGTAATCGTCTATTCATGTTATGAAAACAACATGCTTTAGCATGTGAGTGTTGAATAAAAGATATTTGAAATGCGCGAAAAATGCTTTGAATTAGCGCGCTTTTGATGTCAATATCGGTTAAATTGCGCAATAAAAAAAATAAAGATTTGTTGCTTAATCTTTCGTTTTCCTAGAAAAGACCCTTTTTGGAAGACATTGTTTCACTTTTATGATAAATGTGTATATCATACCCTTCACAAATTTCTTGTCAGTTACTTTATTTTGGAAATTCTGTTTAATATATAAAATACTAATACCATCGTTTACTTTTAATTGTAGGTAATGATCACAAATTCGAAATATACAAACGTTCAACCTTGGGTGAGGTTTGCAGAATAGAATGCCAGTTCGTTGAAAATAATCAATTTAAGATACACGTGTAGTCATACAGTAATCCAATTATAGTTTAGAGATTTATTTTTTTTTATTTGAAAAATACTCATGTACTACCCATGAAAACTACTCACAAATTACTGTTTACGCTTTTTTCATAAACCGCTTCGCGATTCATTAAGCATCAACTGTCCCAACCCAGTTTTTACCTTATCAATTGGGTAGCTATTTAACTCTTCCTTAATTCCCTAACTTTTTACATATACATGCACCTTAATATTTCTTTCTACTCCATATATACTCGCCTATAACAGGTCCAGCACAATACCCTGATAAAGGTATATAGCTTGATAAAGCTATATAGCTTTATCAAGGTATTACAAATACCTTGATCAAGGTATTTTATGTAAATTTTGGAAATGACCAATGACAAGGTAAGTAAATTTATGAGTTCCATTTTTATTTTAAAAAAGCCTGGACTTTGATTTATCTTGGGGAATGGTTGTAAATAGAGTTTAAAAAGTCGTAAGTTTTGCTGTCATTGATTTTGGTAAAATATTGTGATTTCAAATTTTCCAAAAGTTCCTTGGAATTTTTAAGTATCCTCATCCGATTTACACCACTTCTCGAATATATTGTTGCACAGTATTCCTGAAGTTTCTCCGTCACTGCTGATAATATTTTAGTGAGTAGTAAAGAAAGAGGCTTGATAGAACATTTACTGGAACCCGCTATATATCTTTGTTTGTAGAATAATTATTGATTTCTTAAATTATAATTGCATTCATCATTCCTACTGTACCCAAAATGGACATGGGAAAGTCGTGGTTTTACTTTTATACAAGACATGTCCTAATAATCCAACTTACCAACAGATTTGAGTTTTTTTTCACTCTATATCGTAATTTGTTTAAAGTGAAGTCATCACACATAGTTCTAGTTAGAGAACAAAAAAGCTTACAAATCTACATACTAATGTTTTAAGTGAAAATTAGAGTTTCTAACATTCTGATCTAAATGTGTGAATTGTTTTCTGAATATCAGGCCATCCTTAAAAAATTGTTGTTTTTTTTTGCGGTAACGCTACTCATCATTTTAGATGTGAGTAGGTAGGTAGGTTTTTTTTTTTTTTTTTTTGGGTAGACAAATGTCGGGATTGATTAAATTTAGGTGTTGTAATTTGAACACCAGCATCTGATGCACCCAGATTTCTTAAACTTATAAGAATCACGTATTCTTACTGAATCATTTGGTCAATTGCTGGCACACTGCAAGTTGCCAAGAAAATTTTGTCGGTTTTATTGATGGTTTAAGTGCTTAATATGACCTGTCTCTGCAATCATCAGGAATCCATCTTAACCTCATGTCTCATTTGTTTTAATTTTGATCTAAAGATCAAATCACGAATTTTAAAATAAAATTTTATAATTTCTGCAACCATAGCTGTATTTACATTCTTCTTCATTCATCCTTCTGCATCTAATATTTCATGGCCTCTACTCTCTTTCTCTCTCTACATGTTTCTCCGATTCAGTATTTTACATACTTTTAAAAACTGTTTTAATGTGAATTGATATAAAATATGTAAGAAAAAATTCATATTTAAAAATATATTTATATTTAAATGTGCTGCATATCAAAGAATTTTTTTTAAAAAAGGGTTTGAACATTTAAGTTTAATACATTTATGATTGATTTTTTAAATTCATTTAGTAGAGTGGATTTTCTTTAGCTTCCTTTTGATTTTTTTTCCTCAAATTAACACAAATAAGAGAAAGTGATGCTTTATAATGACAACAAATCTTTGTGTTTCGGACAATTAAAAATACTAAACAGTAAGAGATTTTTTTTGTTTTACCTTTCAACATCATTTTCATCTTGATCCATTAGTTAAATGACAAAATTACATATCCAGTACTGAGTACATAACATCTGTGGTTATTTACCGAATGTATTGCATTAATTACGTTTATAGGCATATAGCTGGAAAATACAACCCCATGTTGATTCCAACTTAGAGTTTGCGAACTGTCGCAGTGAAAAATTACATCGAGTGGAAATTAAACACTTGACACCTCAATCACAGGCGCTTGTTTCATACAGTACGCTACTGTATGAAACAAACGCCTGTGACCTCAATGACGATTTTGACGTGTTTAGTGATAAAAAATGTATGACGACTAAAATCTAAAATCTCAATCTCTTTCTCTTGAAAACCTGGCAAAGTTTTAAGCCTAAGGCGTCTTTTTCGACCCATATTCCCTCTAGCTTCATAGTAAAAACGCGTGTCAATGACAATAATCATAGATCATTAGATGTGTTTCCCGCGGACTTGTCGTCGCCATTTTTAAACACAGGTGTGTCGTGATCATCAAAATGCTTTTAATAGTTGCAGATTGAGGAAATCAAGCGTCTCTATAATTCTTCAGAAAAAAAAATGGTCGGATAAAAACGGAAAGTAGATACGCTTGTAAAAAAAAATACATACTTTCAATAGGTTAAAAAAAATTTGAGTCGGGTGGATTTTGTTGAGTCGGTGGCGTTACCACAAAAAATTATTTTTTTAAGGATGGCCTCAGGTGTAAGATTAAAGCAATTAATAGGGTTGATTTTTCTTTTTTGGATTATCTACAGTGTAACAATTAATAATGAAAATCGTTGAAGCACAGATTGCATATTATTGTATGCTGTTTTGTAATTTATTCAATAGTAAAGATTGTATATAATAGTAGTATATAATAGAATTCAATAGTTTTCAAAAGTACAGATTTTACAAGATATACAAAGATAATTAATAATTGGAATTTGATGTATTCTTCAATCCGCGCGCGTATAAAACGTGGCCTCACAATCACGTTTTAAATCGTCTAATACATTTTAGATGTAATTTTATGGGAAAAAAAATTCAAATACTAAATAAGTAAATTACTATTTGTATGTCTTACTCCTATGGAGACCAGAACAACCCTAATCTAATAATCCTCTGATTTGTTACTATAACACTGGAAAAAAAATGAAAGCAGCATAGCTCAATACAGAAATTATTAACATATACTAACAAATTTTCTGAGTTATATTTCTTCAGTTTGCCAGTGGACACTTGTTATCAGGTTTTTTTTTATAGCTATAGAAAACAAAAGTTTACTACAAGAATACTGTATCTTTAAACAGTGAAAAATCGTTAATTATAAAGGGAAATATGTTAAGTTATAGTAGATATTAGGGATGGCAATTTCTAACCGGTTAACCGATTAGTCGGTCGGAACGATGGCAATCGGTTAGAAAATCTGTAATCGGTTAGTCGGAAAAAAAATTAAAATATAAGTAAAATAGAGAGCATTCTTCTTAAAATTCATTTTTTAAAAAGAAATTCTTGCTTAAACGTTAATAATTTAGCGTTTTCACATACTTATTTAAGCTGATTTGGAGGTAATTGTGGCTCTCAGGATTAAAATTGTGGGGTAATTGGTCAGTCTGAGATATGTTAATTACTGTTAAAACATCATGTCGTTACCCCGACTGTCCTGTAATTCTTTAATGATAATAATCACCGTAGAGCACTTTGAATTGGTGTGTGTATATTTGGCAGTTATCTATCAAATTAAATTATTAAACAAACATTGTAAATTAAGTGATACAGTTAAGACTTAGTTTCGATTATGGTGACAATGAAGAAAAAACTTGTGTGACATTCGTTTGGAAAATTATCCAAGATTTTTCGGGCATGTTTCAAGGTTTTCTGAATTTTTTCTTGTCTATTGAAATAAAAAAATATATGCATGTAGTTTTCTGGTCAAGAATAAAGATAAATAGAACGTTTTTGACCTCTAACATCTTTTTATTAAGACTTCTTGCGCGTAGGAATAAAGCTACTTGAAAAAAAAGTCCAGAAAATGTGTAGTTTGATACGATTAACCGGTTAATCGGTCGGAACGTCTTACGGTTAACCGATTAGCAATTTTGTATTCGATTGCCATCTCTAGTAGATATACATTCCTTAATCAATCGAATTACACAGTAGTGGATTTCAATGGCTCATATCTTGCATTGAGATACTTGGTTATTTCTTCTGTTAAGATCTTCCATTTTAAACCCTTTTCTTCTGTATTAACTTTGTCGGGATGATAATGGAGGATTGCCTTCAGTAGAGCTTTCTTCATGCTTTCCGAATTTTCTTCCACTTTCATCGTATTTCCAGTAGGGTATTTTTCGTAAATATATCTTAAAAACTGGACATTAGTCATTCCGGAGTTTTTCTTTTCCATTTCTAAAAGTTCATCTTTCATTTCTTCCTTTACTTTTTGTCTCTCCTTGTCTTTTACCTCTTGTTCATGGCTGATTGTTTCTTCTTGGTACTTCTTCATTGTTTCAACGCATTCATTGTACCAGTCTACAAGATAAAGATTTAGTCGAATAAAATAATTTGACAACTTATATTACTTTCCCCACCCCTCTCTCTCTCTCACTCTCATGAAATAATTACTTAACTAACCTTATAAGATGTACACTTTAACAGAATACTAGAGTATAATTTTTAAATATAATCCAGGCAGGGGTTCAGGCGTGGGTGGATCCTCTCCCATCCCTCAAATATTATAATGTAGGTAAACATGTTGATTCCTTTGGCTTACATTAAATTAATGTAATTAGATTAAATTTAAAATTAAATAATAGGATCAAAATCACAGACTTTTTATGCTTTTTACAAGAATATTCAAAGGAGATTATGATGGCTTCACTCCCTCCAAATCTCATCCAGGTGGTACTGCCATTGACCCCTGAGAGAACTTGGGGGTCGCAATACCCCTCGTTATAAAGCGCCCAGACCACTCAATCCTGGATATGCACTCGAATCAAATGTGGTATATTATTACTGACCCAGACTTAGATTTTTATTCCAAAATTAGCATCTTGTGTATAATTTGAATATTCCATATCACATAAAGGTATAATGGATTAAAACCAACATATATATTTATCTTTTATTCAAGTTGCTCAGAGGAACGCTTTAGGGTTATGTCTTCCTTATATTAATATATAAGTTTAACTACGTCTTCATACCATTATAATAACATGCATACTTCTTATACCTTTTTCCCCTGTTTTTAATGAATATTTGACGCTTTTAAAAGATGATTGTACCAAAACAATTTATTTTGGGGGATATTGAACTAGACGATATTTTTATTAATCCAACTTGCTTTATGAGATATTTCTAAGCTATATTAAAAAGGAGCACAGAACTGAAGGATGCAACTTAGGTATAAAATTACCACAATGGACAAAAACTCTTGGTTTCATTGCTGCAGCCAACTGCAGTGCACGTCTGAAGTACTCTTTTGCTTGTGGCTTAAATTTGAGAACCTTTGCATACACCCTTCCGATTCTACTTAGAGCGATGGCTTCTTGTTCAACATCCAATTCCTTTGCAAGTAAAATTGACTGTCTGTACCAGTCAATGATATCCCACACTAAATTAATGTCCAGTGTCTCAAAATCTTCTGTCACTCTTCTCAATAACCCATCTCCTGTAAACATACAAAGGACTTTTATATAAAAGCTAACCGAAAAGTTTTCAAACAAGCAATAGAAAATTCCATTTTAAAAGCTGAAGAAAGAAAAATTAATACACTTTACAACAGTACTGCAAGTTGAGGATAAGACATTACTATTTTTATTGTAGCAATTTCGTTCAGAATCATACCTGTATTGCGAGCTTTTAAAGATTCCGTCATGCTTAAATACATGTGAACATCGTTTTCAAGCACATCAAGTTCTTTTTGAACTTCTTTCAAAGACTGTCCATGTTTGCGAGCCTCATGAAGCGGAAAGTGGCACTGTGCCATATGTTGTTGGCAAATCAACTCGTTTCCTTTTTGCCATGCGTTTATCCCTTCGTGAAAGTGATGTTGAATAATCTCGAGATATATAGTTGCAAGGATATTGGAAATGGACATTAAATCTGCAATTTGTGATAGGTGTCTTATTCTGGTCTCAAAGGAGCTTTCGTTTAAGTACTCATCGAAATCTCTGAAACACTCCTCATACTTAGAAGTGATATCTTCCATCCACATTGAAGTCTTAGAACTCCTACCCTTAACATAAGCATACTGATAATACTTTAAGGCTTCTTTAAATTGATGAAGGACGGAATCGGTTTTTTCGTTTCTCATGATGCCAATTTTTCCTAATCGCCACTCACAGATTGCCAGATTTTTTGCTGCTGAACACTTCTCATCCTCATTTGCACTCACTGAGTAACTTCTGTAATGAACGAGAAAACAGGAATTTAAAGAAACCCATTCTGTTGTTGCTTAACACACATACACCCTCACACACAAAAGACATCAATTCCTTGGTTGTTCTTTTACTGTGGTAAGTGTGAAATAGACCACTCGGTAACTAAACGAAAATCAAATACAGTATCGACTTTAGGCTTCGATTGATTTTTAAACAAGAGACCAATGCGCAAAACGCTCATCTGAGTCAATATAGTCCTAATGTTCTTAACAGCACATTTTTTCTATCATATGTTCCTTTATAAAACTTTGATCCATATTGTGATCTCTTCCTACATCAAAGGTCGAAATTGGAACAAACTTGTATCTACCCTACCTGAGGATGCTTTCTTATCAATATGACTAAACATGGCTTCGCTGTTCTTAAGAAAAAAAATTCAAATATGTTTTATATATATATATATATATATATATATATATATATATATATATATATATATATATATATATATATATATATATATATATATATATATATATATATATATATTTCTATGTAAATCCTTGATCCTCCTACATTTTAGATTGTTTTAAAATAAAAATTAATTTTTAATTTCTTTGTTTGCGGTTTGTTTGTTTGTTTGTTTGTTTTGTTTTTTTTTTTAATTTTGTTTAATTAAGGTCAACCGACTTCCTACTGTTTCCTATTATTATAATTATTCCCTTTTCATAGTCACGCGATTTCTCAGACACTAATTGCGATTTCAATGATTTTATCAGGAGTGATGCATCATTATAATATCTCCAGACCGTCTTTTTTATATTTGAAAAAATTACTTCCGGTCGCATTCTTTGCCTAATTATCATTTTTCAAATTGTCATTTTGTCCACGCATTTTCTTAAAAAACGGCTCAAGGTAGCATCATGTTTTTTTTTCCAGAGGTGATGAAACATCCCTTTGAGTTGTGTATAACGACTTTTGTTGTTTAATCATCCGTCATTTCCGGTCAACACCAAAAATTATATTTAATTTACGGATTTTTTGAAAAATTGAACAGTTTTGAATAAATGTATATAAAACGTAAGTTCAAATGTATATCTGACAAAAAAAAACATCCATTGAAAATACTTCCGGTTCAAGCCGGAAGTAGTCGAAAAATGAAGTTTTTCCTCTAAGATCATGAGATATAGTATAAAATGATTTGTAATTGAGTTTAAAAAAAAATAATATTGCCTTGACTTGTGACTTTCGACGTCAACCGAAAGTGACGTCTGAACGCCGGAAAAGTCCGAATTGAAAAAAAAAAGTTTTTGAAAAAATGTTTTTGGTCCTTTTTATAGAATTTTGCCTAAATTTTATCATTTTTAGAATAAAAAATCTTAATATATAATTACTTTTGACGTCCATCGTCCGTTGGAAGACCTACTCGTTGTTTTGCAACGAGCTCTACTCTAGCTTATTATTATTTTTATTTTTGGAAGGGGGGATTTCATAAATGCTTAGTTAAGTTGGTTTTTTTTTTTGCCTGTGTCTTTACTTTCAAAATCGATACTACGTACCTGTTATATACGATGTGTACATGTATTGTTTGTTTTTATTCAGCATATTAAACAGAATCTTGCGACTCGGGTACATACATATATGTATTTGCATTAAACTGTATTTCTAAACATACCTATAGTACAAATTTCTTGCTGTTTTCAGTCTCTCAGCTTGAATAGTTGGATTAAGGCCTTGAATACTTGCTGACATGTATGCTTTATTTCCTTCTTCTCGAAATGATATAGATGGGGAATCTGAAGAAGACATTCTGAAAAAAAATCTATGAATGTACATGCATATACTGTGGAATAAATCAAATTCATGGGGACCAATTTTCGTGGATTGCTTAAATTTAAAGGTTCGTGGGGACGTAATTTCATGTATTCTCATACCTACAGAAGGAAATATGACTTTGTAACCCTAGTTTATTAATTCATGGAGGATGTAAATTCGTGGATGAGAGGTACCCACGAAAACTGAGCCACCACGGAATCTAATGACTCCACAGTACATGACGTTCGAAGGCTTTGACGATCGCCTGTGTATCAAAAGCATTAAGACATATTATTTTCTAGACTTTATCCCTCTAAATAGCATTTGCACGTCCTTCCAACTGCGATAGAAACAACGTTTATAATGTTTTTGTCAACAAAAAACTTTTTGTGTTTTTTCTTTAAAACAATAGACGGAAGAGTTAAGCTGCCAGCTGAAAATATTTTTTGCTATGTCTTACGTTCGAGATACTTAGTCGTACGAACGACATAATAAGTCGTAATTACGAGACTAATAAGTCGTTGTGTATTCCTTTTGACAAGACCTTCCAATGGATACCAACAACTTTGACCCTTTGATCTTGACCTGGGGGTTTGACCTAATTTTGAAAACCTTTAATCTTGGCCATCACTTTTGAACTGTTGGTGCAAGGGCTTTCGTACAATGTACTTCACATATGTTATGTTGTGACAAGACCTTCCTTTGGATACCAACAACTTTGACCCTTTGACCTTGACCTACTTTTGAAAATCTTTAATCTTGGCCACAACTTTTGAACAGTTGGTGCTAGGGCTTTCATACTTCACATATGTAATCCTTGTAAGAAAGCCTTTCTTTGGGCACCATTAAGTTTGACCATTTGACCTACGTTTGACTTACTTTTGAAAATCTTTAACCTTTTCCATATCTATTCAATGGTTGCTGCTAGGGCTTTCATATTTCACAGGTATATTCTTCTAGACAAGGCCTTACTTTTGGTACCAAAATATTTGATTTGCATTTGAGAAAGCTTAACCTTTGCTATAAGTTGCCATACGGGGGCATCAGTGTTTCAGAAACACATCTTGTTTGCGTTATTAAAAATGTCAGTGAATAAAAACTTTTTATCCCCCTTAACTTTTTGAATTAAGTTTTTATCAGTCACCGAATCAATGCGTTACATTATTTTGGCAAATCTGATGTAAATCGCTGTTACAAGTCGTCCAAATTTTGTTGACTTATCCTCTCTGATTTAAATAAATCGCCTACATGAAGTCATCATGTATAAAATATTGCATTAATGTTTGCGATATGCTGCAATAATGTTTTTGATATTTAATTTTGGCGGTAAAATTTATATGCTCTAAATTAATGCGAATTCGGGATTTGACTTTGATAGATTAAAGTGTATAAATCATCAAAAACATGTCGAAAAAGTGTCATTCATCAGAGATTGGTGTCATATATAAGTTTTCCAACTTTAAACCATTTAATATCATTATATATATCAACAACGTTCTAACGCAACAATATGAGTCGGTTATACGTTTCCGTAATCTCGTAATAGCAACTTGAACTTAGTTTCTCATTATAACGACTTATTTATCCGTGACCTTGTATCTACTTAGTAGATCCGACACTTAGGATATACAGTGTTTTGGTTTTTAGTGCTTTATATATATATATCTGTTTTGATATGTTTTAGCAAATCAACAATCATTCAACTGTAATGTATGTACATGTAGCACAACCACGAGATAAATGATTGTGTAAATACGCGTTTTCCAAGTAGCACAATTATCTGCGAGCTATGTTTATCAAAAGTGCTCACACTACTAATATGATTCTAATTTCCACCGTCTAATGTGTGTTGCTCGTAAGTAAAATTAAATTCAAATATTTTTTTAAATATCAGATATTTAAGAAAGCCCATTGAGCTCATTTTCGTAGGTAACAAAAATATATTTTTCGCGTTATAACGCGAAACTTTCGCGAATAAACGCGTAACTTTCGCGTTATAACGCGAAATTATACATATATAGTCATGTTACTCAGGAAATTGTGTTCTTGACTGACAGATAAAAAACATGAACGCAGAGGGGGACTTCTGTGAATTTATAAATGACATTTCTTCAGAAGCTGTAAAAGAGAATTGATGCGAGAAATGGATAGATTAGTGTTGATTTTGCATTTAATCTCAAAACCCTACTAATTAATTAAATGAATATTTCTTTAAAGATTTTCTTGTTTTTCACTTGTTGAATACAAGAAATTCTGTAGACTAATTTTTTTTTTCTCAGGAAGATCTCCACTCGTTGCTTTCTTTGAATAAATTGTCAATGTTTTCGTAAGTAATGGTATGACCAAATGGTGCAACCTTAAAATACAGTGTTGTACTTCTTCGGAGATGAAATATTTGTCATCCAATTTTCACATTAGGTTACTCATGTGATGTGACAAAATTGTTCCGTGAAATACAAATTTACCTCATTGTTGTCAACTTTCTGAGATCTTTTATTTCAAATTCTATATAGAATGTTCAATCTAATTAAAATTAGACTTGTATTTTCGCTCCTCTACTATACGCTTCAACACTTGTATTGAACAGCATTGAGAAAGACAAAATGTGACGGCAAAAAAGATTTAGAAAGAGGAAAGACACATTCAATGGCGAGAAAACATAAAATTTCAGCTCGTGATAATCCAAGTTCAAAATAGTCTTTCGTTTTTCACTGTAATGAATAAACTAGATCATTAAAAAGTAAAACAAACTGTAGACTTATGCAAATGTCTCTGTTTTACAGGGAAAGTTTCGCGTTATAACGCGAAAGTTTCGCGTTTATTCGCGAAAGTAACGCGTTATAACGCGAAAGTTTCGCGTTAATTCGCGAAAGTTACGCGTTTATTCGCGAAAGTTTCGCGTTATAACGCGAAAGTTACGTGTTTATTCGCGAAAATGAGCTCAATGGGCTTTCGTAGATATTAACAAGCACCGTAAAATATTATTAAAATTTCTTGGAGTGGAACTTTCGACTTAAAAGAATGTTTATATTTGTTGACATTTTCGCCATGACTTAGTGAAAGTGCCTCAATCAGGTTGGCAAAGCTACTTATCAAAATTAGCAAGTATACATCCTTGTCTACCGTATAAGACATAACATAGGTATATGAGATATTGCTAATAAAATTAAGTTTCGTTTTTGTTTCCAAAGCTTTATCTATTTTTCATTTTTAAAAAATTTGGGGAAAAAGATATTGAATCATGATTACTTTTTGCAAAATGTATTAGTTTACCAACCTTTCAGGGGTTTTTTGTTAAATCCACTATACTTGTCAGAACCAGTTTGTTTCGTTATTGTACATGTGGTATAAACATGTAATTTTCGGTTTCGTTTTCCAAATTTACAATGGTTTATCCATATGCTGCTAAAAATAATGTTTGTCGTGTGTTTCAGAGGCCTTCCGATTGTGAAAGCATTTGTATAGTGATGCGCATTCAAATCAGGTATAAAACTAAACATATCGAGCATTCTTTTGAACGTACGTCGGTTGTAACATAATGATTTTTCAGAAACGAGAAAGTGATATTTTGACAATATTTTTTTAAAACAAGCCTAATAGATATACCAGCTCTTGTTAAGAAGCACTTGGGTTTTGCTGAAGCTGGGATTTTTGAAGTAGACAAATTCAAAAGCATATATATATATATATATATATATATATATATATATATATATATATATATATATATATATATATATATATATATATATATATATATATATATATATATATATATATATACACAAGGGATGACCATCGAATACAGAATAGCCCGTTGGTTAACCACAAGACATTCCGACCGACTCTCTCTCTCTCTCTCTCTGTCTATATATATATATATATATATATATATATATATATATATATATATATATATATATATATATATATATAGAACGCACAAAGAAGTTCTCTTTTTATAAGGAAGATTCCGTAGGTCGAGAGTTCAACCCCGGGCTGGGGCGGAAGTGGGTATCCTTATAAAAAGTGAATTTCTTTGTGCTTCTGTATCAATTTTTCTTCACTTAGGGCAGTTAAGTAAGTTAAAGAGTTGTTGTAAAATGTGCTTTATGAATAAAACTAAATTTCTTTATAATGTGTATCGGTAACAATAAAGAAAAATAGACAATTCCACACAACCTGCTTGTTAGACAATAAATTGAAGATTAATATACCTAACATTAGGTCTATCCTAAAATAACTGTGTACAACAAAACTTCACTTATTGATCAGAACAACACCTATTTTTAAATCCCCAACTGTTTTACAGTCTGAATGTATTTTATGCAATTTATTGTAAGGCATAAAAATTACAACTGTTTTAAAGTTCAAAACCGTTGCACATTACATATTATATTGTCCAAAATGCAGAAACAGTTCCTATGATTAGATACAATGTAATAAATACAGCAAAAATAATACAAGCACCTGAAAATGATAAAATGATAATTTCAGGTGAAATCTGAACACCCAATGATATTTTATTGGCAATCAAAGGTACAAGTTATAATTCTATACACAAGAGGCCCATGGGCCACAACGCTCACCCGAGTAACTTTGGCCCTGCTGTTCTTCACCAGATTTCCCCCTTGTAATACCTATCGTGGCCCCACCCTACACCTGGGGGGGGGGGGGTCATTGAACAATTTAGAATCTACACTACCTCAGAAAGCTTCCACATTGGTATCAGCTTTTTCTGGCTCAGTGGTTCTTGAAAAGAAGATTTTTAAAGATTCTTTTCTATATCTTTCAATGTGAAACTTGGATATCCTAATGTGGCCCCACCCTACACCCGGGGTGTCGTGATTTGAACAATTTATAATCTACACTACCCCAGGATGCTTCCACATATGTTTCACCTTTACTGGCTCAGTGCTTTTTGAGATTCTTTTCTATATCTTTCAATGTGAAACTTGGATTCCCTATTGTTGTCTCACCCTACACCCAAGGGGTCATGATTTGAAAATTTAGAATCTACACTACACCAAGATACTTCACATAAGTTTCTGCTTTTCTGGCTCAGTGCTTCTTGAGAAGATTTTAAATATTTTTTTCGATATATTTCAATGTGAAACTTTGATATCCTAAATGTGGCCCCACCCTACACCCTGGGTGTCGTGATTTGAACAATTTAGAATCTACACTACCCCAGGATGCTTCCACATATGTTTCACCTTTACTGGCTCAGTGCTTCAAGAAAAGAAGATTTTTATTTTAAAGTTTTTTTTCTATATATTTCAATGTAAAACTTGGATTCCCTATTGTGGCCACACCCTACCCCTGGGGGTCATGATTTGAACAATTATGAATTTACACTACCCAAGAATGCTTCCATATGTTTCAGCTCTTCTGGCTCAGTGGTTCTTGAGAAGAAGATTTTTTAATGACTCACCCCTATTTTTGTATTTTCTTGATTATCTCCCCTTGTATGGGGTCTAGACCCTTCATTTTAGCATTTTAAACTTTCTTTCACCAAAGAATGCTTTATACCAATTTTGGTTAGAAGTGGCCGAGTGGTTCTTGAGAAGAAGTTGAAAATGTGAAAAGCTTACAGGCGGACGGACAGACGGACAACTGGTGATCAGAAAAGCTCACTTGAGCTTTCAGCTCAAGTGAGCTAAAAATCAATTTGAGAGTTCAATAATTAGGAGCACATGAATCTTCCCATAATATTTCATAGTTCGAGTTCTAAGAGATCATTATTTACTGAATCCTTTTCCAATCAAAGCTATTTAAAATCTTTTGAAAATGGTGCTACACGTATCTGGTACATGTCTGTACTCCTTTAGTAATGGAGCCTAGATAAGCATAAATATTAATGTTAACAACCAAAATTCATATAAGCATTGGTACACCAATAAACCTTGAATTCCCAAAAATAAATTGATAATGAACAGTTTTAAAGTAAATGCTCCTCCTCAATTTCAACATAAGGATATTCATCAAAACTGCCTGACTCCACGAAATCTGGATGGCAACAAAACCTGCAAAATAATGGAGAGCAACCTTAACCCTTAGTCTTCATGTTCTATAATAAAGTAGAATATTGGTTAGTATTTAATTAACTTGATCTCAGTTTAATTAATAATAGAACAAACATTTATTATGAGGCCAAGATTAAAGCTTTTATTACTTCCCTTTGTATGGATCCATACACAGAAAATGATCTCAATACAAACATGACAAAGACTTCTAGGGGCAAAATATATATGTTTTGAACTAAGTAGAAAGGTTTATCTGGTCTTATATAAATAATATTCCAAAATCTAGTCTGTTCAGTTTTACTACACAATGCCTTAATTATTTATTTCATGTTGAGTACATGTCTAATAATAAAAAAGGGAAAAAATTGTTAGTCTCTACATTATGATTTCAGGACTCCATTCCATGCTAAAAATTGTCAATGTTTCAAGCTTAATACGTTTCAAATAAAGTTTATCCTGCAATCTGAACATTAAATGTAGAACTCTATTGTTTTACCTTTAAAAACAATGTTTTACTGAGCTGTCACCTCCATAAATGATGTAAGTTAGACCTGTTCACCAAGATATAGTGCTATTTTTTTCACTACATTCACAATCTTTTTCTAATTTGCAATCACCAGTGTTTGACAGTTTTGAAATTGATCGAGTGAAATCTCCAGTGTGGGTTAACAAAATTTATCAAAATTTTGTCATCAGCTTCCCAGGCCTGGAAGCCATCACAAGATACATTATAATAAAAAGTAACTAGAAATATGTCCATAGGACATGAATGCCCCGCCGAGGGTATATTAGTAATGCAACATTTCAACACAAATTGAGAAAAGTGAGGTCAAGGTCAAAGGAATAGTCAAGGTGAAAAAATATTGATGCAGTTGAATAGCTTACATCAGTATGTATCAGCATATGAAGTTTGAAACTAATTTAAGAAAAGTGGGGTCAAAGGAAAGGTCAAGGTCAAAAATTGTTGATGCAGTTGAAAAGGTTACATCAGTATGTATTAGCATATGAAGTTTGATAAAAATATTATGAATGTTTTCTTTAAAACTGAGCTAAAAACTAATTTAAGAAAAGTAAGGTCAAGGTCAAAGGAAAGGTCAAGTCAAGAAATATTGATGCAGTTGAATAGCTCTCATCAGTATGTATCAGCATATGAAGTTTGGCACTAATTTAAGAAAAGTGAGGTCAAGGTCAAAGGAAATGTCAAGGTCAAAAAATATTGATGCAGTTGAATAGCTCTCATCCGTATGTATCAACATATGAAGTTTGATAACACTTTCTTGAATGGTATCTTTAAAACTGAGCTAAATTTTTTTTAAGAAAAGTGAGGTCAAGGAAAGGACTTGGTAAAAAATATTGATGCAGTTGAATAACTCTAATCAGTATGTATCAGCATATGAAGTTTCTTAAAAATATCTTGAATGGTTTCATTAAAACTGAGCTAAACACTACTTTAAGAAAAGTGAGGCCAAGGTCAAAAGAAAGGTCAAGGTCAAAAAATGTTGATGCAGTTAAATAGCTTACATCAGTATGTATCAACATATGAAGTTTGATTGCACAATCTTGAATGGTATATTTAAAACTGAGCTAAACACTACTTTAAGGAAAGTGATGTCGGGGTCAAAAGAAAGGTCAAGGTCAAAAAATGTTGATGCAGTTGAATAGCTCTCATCAGTATGTATCAACATATGAAGTTTGATTGCACTATCTTGAATGGTATCTTTAAAACTGAGCTAAACACTAATTTAAGTATAGTGAGGTCAAGGTCAAAGAAAAGGTCAAGGTCAAAAAATGTTGATGCTGTTGCATAGCTCTCATCAATATCTATCAGCATATGAAGTTTGATAAAAATATCTTGGATAGTTTCTTTGAAACTGAGCTTTGAACAGAGCTAAATGCAAAGTGTGACAGAAGGACAGACGGAAGGACGGAAGACGGACATGACAAACACTATATGCCCCGACCATATTCATGGCGGGGCATAAAAAAGTCAGAGCCTGGTTCCCTGCATGGCTCATCCACGCCAAAGGAGCAAAGCCAAGTGTAGTTCAAGTCAATGCTATTATATGATTGGTCATCACTGTTTCTGCAAAATTATTGATTAATATTGAACCATTGCCATTAACCATGGAAACGCCACAGTGATGGATTACATTGACGGTGTAGAAAAAGAGAAGAATGCATTTTGCTGAACCATTAAACCAGCTGCATGTTGCATTTACACCCCCCCCCCCCCAATGGATTCTCACATCCAACAAATAACATACGTCCCTCAAACCCAGTCAATAAATTTAATGTTTTATGTTTACTAAATGTTTTTTTTCCCACTTTTTTCTTTTCTTAATTTCTGGCATTGAAGATTGAGCTCATATTCCAAACTTCAAAGGATTTAAAGTTTCATTAAGGGAAAATTAAGAATATATTAGAATTAGACTTTACTGTAAATTATTTCAATGTTTTTTAGAAAGATTATGTTAAGAGATTTAGTATTTATAAGTACAAATACTTTAATTTCATTCTTGTCAGGCTTAATTTCAAAAGCAAAATAAAAAAAAAGAATTTACAAGATGTTTTTATTCGTGAAGTTGCCTATTAAATTATCTGTAGCATTTTAAAACTTTTAAATGCCGAATTGAGAAAAAAAAATAAAGAAGAATTCTTATCGAACAAAAATTATAATCTACAAAGAAAGCAAATGTAGTAAAGTTTGTTAAGAACATATAAAACATAACACTACCACTACCATTATTATCATATTACATGTATAAACAAAAAAAGGTCAAGCTACATGTATATTACAAAGCTGGCCTCATTTAATGTCATCTATAAGCCAATCAGTCTCCTATCAAATAAATGTTTCATAAAATGTGTTAATAATTTGCTTACATCATATTACACGGACTAACATATAGCTACATACAGCTGAACTTTGTTATGTCAAACTGTCATATCTCGAATACCATATCTATTTGATTAAAAAATCTGCGTAAATCAGAGAAGAAAATGTGATTCTGCGAAATTTTGAATCGCTGGAAAAACGTACGCTAATAGTATCTATGGTATTCGAGAGCATACTTAAAATTCATTAAAGACACACATTAACATTAAAGATAATTTGTTAATGTGTGTCTTTAATGAATTTTAAGTATGCTGTTATAAATTCCCGGAGAAAATCTGTCACTGTGTACGTAGCGTAAATTAATCCCACGCTGAAAAACGTACGTCTACAGTATGTCAAAGTGAGTTAAGTACAACTAGTATTTTAACCATAATATCTAAAACCATTGGATATCTCAAAGTTTTTTCTCGGTCTCATTGGTTTGAGATAATGTGGTACCTGAAACTTCATTGATTTAGGATGTATCTCAATATGCATTATCCATGTAAGTTGGTTCAGATATAGCTTGTAATTGTTAAGAAAGGACCATCTATTAAAAATTTGATCTTGTCACTCATCCAAAAAATATAGTTCAAATGACCCTCGTATATATAAAATTGTTACACCAGTTGAAAGATCGGGTTCCCTAAAATTTGACCCTTTTAAAATAAGTGATTAAAGGTCCTCATTATATACTTTATTTACATCACCAGTAATGACGTATTCAGCAGATTATTGTTGTACGATGATGAAGAACATGAACATGTAGGTAGATAATGTTTCAGTAGTTTGTCATCAAGGGACTGAAGACTTTTTCTGTAATTAAACAGTCTGGAAGAAATATTTGCAAAACATACAAGATGTTGAATTCAGCTTAGGATATGGTGAATACAAGGCTGTTCCCTTCCTCTGTTGGCAAATTAAAATTTAAGGAACAGACTGGTTACTTGCGCAGCATTCTCTTCCGTAAAACACGGGGGTTTAAAATGCCTATGATCTGAAATATACATAAACAGAGATCCCACCCTGTATTCTGGTGTCGAATAATCCAAATAGGGACTTTCCTTGACCCTTTCAAATAGACCATTAATAATTCCAAAAGGACAGATTTGTTTGGTGTGGACGTGATGATGACCTATAAGGTATTAGTGAATCAAAAGAGACATCATGAACATGTATAATAGCTAGGTTTATTGTAGGACTGGTGTCCATGTCTGTGTATTGTCAAGAAGTCCTATCACATTAACACTGCTATACATGCACTTGAAAGATTTCCAACACCATCGACACTGTATAAAGCTCACCCATAGTGGTGAAACTCGTGATACAATGCGTATGAAAGGTCAAATCTGAATAGTCAATTAGGCCAGTCAGGTTAATTGCACGGAGTGTCAACTGGAATGAATTCATGAGCGTCTCTTGGATGTAGAAATAAAAATTTTGAAAACCTTGATCTACAACTAATGTGAATAGGGGAAGCAGAAAAAAATCTTGCCATAGATATATAAACAAGATCTTTAATTGCATAAGGCAGCAAAAAATTTGTGAGAGTACTGAAATACTGTCGTTTTCTAACCAACCAACCCCCCCCCACCCCCCCCCCCCCCCCAATAATTTTCAGTACAAGCATGCTGTTAATATTCTTGTCAAGTTATTATAATTTCCTTACTATTTAATGAGTTTAATTTGTGCCCCTTTCAGAATCGGACATACATTTAAATATACAGTGTATATTATAATGCATTTTGGCAAGAAAATCAGATTCTCTAGATTCTATCCACAGTTGCTAGTACACGTATTTGACATTATATTTTCTATTACAAAAAATATAACCCCAACTCATAAATCACGTCAAGCGCTTGTGATTAAATCTTTAGTTATGTCACACTAAAAACTTGATGGAATCATTTTCAAATTATTCATTTTTATTCAATTTTTTTAATGGTGCAATATTCACATCTATGACACAAAACATAACATAACGTAGTATTTGATAACAATTTAAGTTTCATAACAAATACTTCTCGTACATTGATGAGACGCGTCTTAAAATTTAACAAAAATATTACATAATTTACAGGAATGATTTTATAAACAACCAAATATATTACAACTTCGTCTAAAAACAGTACTCTATTTCCGGCTTTGGGATCATGAAACATTAAACACGTTTATTTATTTTTATCATCAAGAAATCCAAATTATAGTGGATAATTTTAGTTCGCTGCTTATAAGCATTGACTGAAATTTTGAAAGTTCAACGATACACTACATTTATTTCATGAATTCAAGGCCAGAACTACATGCATTTAAGATACACCAAACAAATGTGTAACACTAAAAGTATTTGTGATTGCATGTCTGTAAACTGTATAAATATTATAATCAAGTTCAATGGGCTATATGCATTTCAAAACTACTTACATGTTTTGCAACGCATATTTTCAATTTCAAGTACTTTCATGTTCTCATTATTACAATGTTGATTGCATTGATTTAAATCTCAAAGATATGTACACATGCATATAAAATTATACAGGTTTATACGTAAAAAATAATTTACATGTGAAGATGACTGGATGATTGAAAATTTACATATTATTTACATGTGATAATTTTAAAGAAAATGATTCTTTCAATACATATTTAAAGATTGTAATGTTTCAGTAGTGGAAATCTAGATAAGTACCAACACTTCAATAACTAAAACTTAAATTTCTCCGTTTTCTTGTGGACAAATTAGAATACAGATCACTTTATCATTTGTTCTTAAAAGCAAATTTGGGTGATATTTGATATTGATAGGTATTAGACTATTATATATATATTGCACAGTAAAACTTGGTAAATAAGTCGCCCAAGGGATTCAGGGAATCATAGAAAGAATTCCTTACAACCGAAATTTCTTAATAACCGATTTTTACTACACTTAATGTGTAAATACAAAAAAATTGACAACTTCCATACAACCCTTTTTGCAAGACTAAATTAAACAATGTACCAAACACTAGATCTATCTCAAGATATATGTTTATGGAAAATCTCACAAAAAGATACAAACATACGAAAGTACCGTACATATTTCAAAATCCCCAACTGTTTAACAGTCTATACAACTATAAGGCACATAAAATATAACTGTTTCATATTCAAAACAATTGAAAATTGCACAGTAATTGTCCATTATGCAGAAATAGTTCATATGATCAGACACAATTTAATAAATACAGCATAAATAATACAAGAGGCTGAAAATGATGAAAATGATTAATTCAGATGAAAATTTAACACCCAATAAATATTTCTTTATTTCTAAATCAGGTATCGGAAGTACATGTATTTAAATTTTACACCACTAAATCAAGTTCCATAATAATTAGAAGCATATTATTTTCCCTCCATGATTGACAAAGTTAATGTTCTAAGAGATCACTATTTTATTGAATGCTCTTTTAATCATAACTATTTTAAAATATTTTGAAAATGGTGCTATCTGGCACTCCTTAATGGAGCCTTAATAAGCATAATGTTTACAACCAAAATTTATTAAGCAGTGGTATATTACACCAATAAACCTTGAACTTTCAAAAATGAATTTTTAATGAACAGTTTTAATGTAAATGCTCCTCCTCAATTTCAACATAAGGATATTCATCAAAACTGCCTGACTCCACAAAATCTGGATGGCAACAAAACCTGCAAAATAATGGAGAGCAAACCTTAACCCTTATAATTAGTCTTCATGTTCTCAAATAATGTAGAATATTAATTAGCATTTAATTATCTTGATCTCTGATTAATTATTAATATTAGAGCTCACATTATTATAATGCCTAGATTTAAGCTTTGATTGCTTCTCTTTTTAAAGATTTGTACACTGAAAATGATCTCCAATACAAAAGACTTCACTGTCATTTCTTGGGGCACAATATACATTTTTTGAACTAGGGAGCAAGGTTCATTTGGCCTTGTAAAAATAAAATTCAAAAATAATGTCTGTTCAATTTTACTGAACAATGTCTAAATTATTGATTTCATGTTAAAATAAAATTGGCTAATAAAAACAACAAAATTTGTTATTCTCTGCATTATGATTTCATGACTCCATTCCATGTCAAAATGGCCAATGTTTGAAGCTTTTTTTTTTCATTTCAAATATAGCTTATCCTGTAATCTGAATTTTAAATGTACAATGCCATGTACATACTGGTATTGTAGAACTCTCTCTGTTGTTTTACCTTTAAGGATAAATAACACAAACAAACTTTTTTTTCAGAAATCAGCAATATTTCTCACAGATTTATATTCAAATAGGTAACCTGAGTAATTTTTGCCAGGTAAAATGTTAGAATTTTGCAAGATTTTGTCACAAGGTTTAAAATGTGTGCAAAATTTTGTATAGAATTTCATAGAAAATGACACAAAGGCGCATATCTAAGCACCAAAGAAAACTTGCGACTTCTTTATATTTTATGGATTTATTATTTATGTCATTTCTATCACAAATCAGTCAAAAAGTATATATCAACCCATGCAGGCATCAAATTTTTGTTTGCGTTATGTATTCTAACTGAGCCATCACCTCGATATACAATGTAAGTTACCAGTTAGTCCTGTTCACCAAGATATAGTGCTTAATGTTTTTTCATAAAACTCACAAGCTTTATTTAATTTGTATTCATCAGTGTTTGACAGTTATGAAATTGATGGAGTTAAATCCGCAGCGTGGATTAACAAAATTTGATATCAAAATTGTGTTTGCGGCATCCAAGACTTGGAAGCCAGCGCAAGATACATCATAATAAAAAGTAAAAGGTATAGTCTGGTTCCCTGGCTCATCCACGCCAAAGCAGCAGAGCCAGGTGGACTTCAAGTCAATGCTGTCATATGATTGGTCATCACTGTTTGTGCAAAATGATCATTGATTAATATTGAGCCATTGCCATTAACCATGGAAACGCCACAGATGCATTACATTGAATCAAACAAATACATCACAATGAATCTCTACATTAATTGACACCGCAGCTGAATATGATGTCATAATGGGCATGGATTCAGGGAAAAATCGCTATGAATCTATTGTAGTTCACCTGGCCATAGTGTTGCGGAATACACAAAGCAGAACAGGGACAGGGAACCAGGCTATAAAAGGTAGTATAAAACATGTATTGGCCAGGTTCTCAAGCAGAATGCACTTTGCTGAACCATTAAACCAGCTGTTGCCTTAAGCCTCATGCCAGGTTCTCACATCTAACAAACAGCATACTTCCCTCAAACCCATTCAATAAATGTTTTATGTTTACTGTTTTTCTTTCCCTTTCCTTCTTTTCTTAATTTTTGGCATAGGTTGTACTCATATTCTAATCCTGGATTGAAATTTCTTCAAATACACTTCTTACTTTTTAAATTAAATTTTGAATATAGCAATTTCACATGCTATGTTTAAAATGGAAGATAAGATGAAAATTCATTATAAATGGTCTCAAGACATGGCCTTTTTGTGCTCAGCGAACCTAACTCTTAAAGTGTGAAACTGAAAATTATCAATACATCATTTTAATTTATTTTGAGGGGAAAAAAATTTCCAGTCATTCTAATAAAACTTCAAAGGATTTGAATTTTCATTAAGAGGAAATTAAGAATATTCTAAAATTAGACTTTACTGTACATCATTTTAATGGTTTTTTCCCTAAATAGGTTAAGTTAAGATATTATTTAGTGTTTATAAGTACATGTATTTTAACTTCATTCTGGTAAGGCCTCATTTCAAAAGCACAATAAGAAAAGAAAAAGATATTTTTCATACATGTATATACAATGTAGTGGCCTATTAAATTATTTGTAGCATTTTGAAACTTTTAATTGCCAAAGTGAGAAATATGTGATTTTTATCAAACATTAATTCTATTCTACAAAGCAAATGTAGGGAAGTGTGTTAAGCACATAAAACATAACACTGCCACTACCATTAAATACAATAGCAACAACAACAAAGGTAAATATTAAAAAGCTGCCCTCAGTTAATCTATAAGCCAAGCAGTCTCTTATCAAATAAATGTTCCATTCAATGCATTATATTCACATACTTTTACCATTTCAAGGATTTAGCCATATATCTGGAAAATGTAGTGCATGAAGATTGATCTAGGCTCCATGTATAATAGGAATATCCTAGATGCACCTTCCACACAAGTTTGTTCCTGATGGACAGATACCCTTTCTAAATGAACCTTCTCTGACTTCTTTAGCCTAAGACATGGATGCCTAGGTATATATTGCATATCCTTACATGCACCATCCTTACAAGTTCTTACTGGTCAGGTTTTAGTTAACTTTAAACACGAGACATGGATGCTGAGGTATATAGCACAAACTCAACTTGACAGACCTTGTCAACTCCATCAAAATGAGCTTTAAATCTTGTATAAAATGAGAAATTAAAACTTTTCTGTGAAATAATTCCTATATTGCTAATGATTAATCATGAATTTTATATATAATCATAGTATCTTAAAGACTCTTGTCATGGACTTCTGAAGGTAAGAGGTAATTACAGTTTCTTTTTGAAAACAGTTTTCAAAATTGCGAAATGCATGTAATTGAATGTGAATTCAATACATTTTGTTCCCTGGTTGTTCCTCATTGTATAAGCTAAAATACAAAGTACTGCTAATCAATCATAAGTGATACTCATAATTAAACATTTTATTTATTTTGAGCATGTAAGATTTAACATGGTCTATCACAGCAGAAAAGTTTTTAAAATGCTCCTGAAACATAAATTTAGTGTTAGTTAGCTTTATCAGCACTTTAGAGGAATTCGTTGTCAGGAATGTTATTTTTGTTATAAAAACAAGCATGCATGTACAAAATATAAAATAAATGTACGTTACAATGCTTAGATGCAAAAATAATGTAACAAATATAAATAAATAACAGATATAATTCACCTTTTCCATTACAAGTGTGAAATTACTACAAGAGTTCAAGTGTCTACTAACAGTTCAGCAAGGCAAGCAAATCCTGTCATGCAAGAAAATATAAAACACACCCACATCCAGTTTCTAAATAAAAATACACTGTTATCAAGATACAAACTGAGTTCTTGATCCACTGGAGGGAATTCTCCTTGTTATCTGTTTGCTTTGTTGTGCTTTTTCTTTGGTGGCTTGGGATTTTTTATAAGTTGCATGTAAGTCCTGAAGCCTCTTTTCCACATTGCCCAGTAGAGGGCGCCTCATAGGGTCTCCATTCCAGCACTCCTGCATCAAGTTCCAGCATTCCTCATCGAACACTGCCAGCTTTTCTGGTCTTAGTCCTGGAAACAGATTAATGAAACATTTTTAAACAGAAAAATTTACACAGTCTTTGTCACTTCATGAAGAGATTTTCTTTTAATAAAACTGAGGCTGGCCATGGGCACAAATTTTTGAAATCCATTTCTACATTAGCACAGGGCAATTCTTGTAAGTGCTTTGGCTCAAGGACCTTAGGCTCCTTATCTTGTAATTCAGGTTTTTCACACATAAATGATGACAAACTACAGTGAACATATATCTTATTCATGCAGACACTAAGAACTAGGAGACTTAAAGCACTCAAATGCCAAAGAAGAGTAAATCATAATATGCTTTACTTAGTAAGATATACCTACATGTATATCTTCAGGAAATTATCTGCTTTAATTAGTAAATCACACACATGTCTTGATTAATATGTTATACAAATACCTTTTTTGACATTTGTCCACAGTTGGTCTTTATTTGCACACTGTTCAAATGCACCAGGGAGCTTGACATTTCCAGCACAGACATACCAGAACAGAACACCGAAGGCGTACACGTCCACACTATTGTCATAGCGCCCAGTGAAAAGCTCTGGAGCCATGTGAATGGGCGTGCCCACAATACTCCCACTCATCATAGCCTCTGGCTTACAGAATCCTAGATCCGTCAGCTTCCCACGGTTTTCCTTGTCAAGCTGGAATTTAATAACATAGAATATTTCAAAACTTTCAAGTTAGAAATACATGACCATATTTCCTTTGAGAAAACTATTAACACACCTGTTTTAAGTTTCTAATTTATAATATTTTCACTAAGATTTTACACTTCTCATATATTTTAAGCTAAAGCTCTAAAAATTTCTTGTACCAAAAAAAAAATTAATCAAATACTTTCCATTAACAGATTCCTCAAAGACTTTTATAAATCTTTTTTCAATTAAAATTAAAACTTTCTTCCCTAAATCTGACAACTGCAGAAATTTTTCATTTACATCTATCACCTGGACCCAGAAAGGTAAACTTACCAGTACATTTTTTAGTTTGATGTCTCTGTGTACCAACCCCTGACTGTGAAGAAATCGGATCCCCTCCACTACATCTATAGCCACAACGATCCTAAGTAAGAGAGAAAAAGTTAACATTCAACCTATGAATAGCTGTATTCTTGACATTAAGTCTTATGTTAGGTATGTCAATTTAAAATCATCTTTGACAGTTAATATTTAACAGTCTGAATTAACAGAAAATATGGCAACTTATGTTATGTGCCTTTAAAAATTTTCCAATATATATTTTTATTGAATAAGGTGCTGTATCAATAGCCCTGACTCCGGGGCCATAAAAGTTAGATGAGCTCACTTTTGATCTCAGTCTCACTTTTCTACTATTAATTCCTTTGCTAAAAGCAAGACGAGATCAAAAGTGAGCTCGTCTCTAAGTTTTATAGGTGTTACTTAATATACCACATACATTTGAAATTTGCTATCTCAAACATTGATATCTCATTTACCTTGGATATGTAAAACTGAGATGGAAATCCCAATCACTTTTACTGTATGTACTTTTATTTACTTTTAGTTTTTATTTTTTTATATGGCCCCATAGCGTTCAAGATAACATGATTTGACTATATTAAGTCCCTCTCTGTTTTTATTACCTTGACAACCAGTCCAGTCCCTGTTTGATTGCCCCGTACAGATCCTTCTGCAGTCTGTCCATGATAAGTAAAACAGCGGGGGTGCTCCCTCCCCCATACATGTAGTCTATCACTGACCCACGGAGGGCCACAATTCTGTCATGGTGAGGAATGTTTCTGTCAAACAAAAGAGAGAAATCAAACCTAGATATGTTGTTTCAGTACATTAAAATATAATGTCTCCTCTTCATTCAATTCATACAGAAGTTTTGATGACATTTAAAATGTTCTTTAATGGTTATACCCACATGCAAACCATCAATTTGCAATAAATTACACTTAATTATGATGGAAAACATTTCAATTTTCAAAATTGTTGGGTACATACTTGGTATAGTAGAATTCTAATGCTAAATCATTCCAGTGTTTGTCATCAGGGGGAACAACTGATTTTATGGCACAAGGGGAATAACCTCCCCAAGAGTCGCAGGAGTAGACAACTCCGTACTGTCCTCGTCCTATCTCACGACCCATCTGTGGCATGCCTACAAGAGTGTAGAATTTCTTACAACGTAATACTATAAATGAAGAACTGCATGCTATTTCATACATCTTTAATGTAAGCAATAGCACAGATGAACACACAATATCTAGATGTTATCATCTCTATATACTTTTCAATTTTTAACTCATCTCTTTCTAATTTTTAAAGTACCAGTATTTTATACAGCATTCACGATGCTTTGAAGCAGTATTTATCTATGCAGTTGTATGTCATTAGCACACTTTATACATAATTAACTCACCATGCAGTATGACATCCATCAGAGAGGTGCTCTCCAGGGCCACCTTAGCCACACGAGGAGCATGAACTTTGCGGAGTTTTAATCGCCCCTCCTCTATCCTGTCTAACCTCCCGGAATGTTTCTGTTCCAACTGTTTAAGGGCAGCAGCGAAAGAATCATGGGATTTATTCAGCCTCTCTTTGATCTGACTAGAGATACTCTTGGCCAATCTGCATAACAATATATCCTTCATGACAATGTGTATATGTATAATTCCCAAAACTTGCCAAGTGTAAATTTTATTTGCTGTCTACGAAAAAAGTAGTCTCCCTTGAATAAGCAAGCCTTTTGTAAGACTGAACGTTTTAGATAATAGAATTTAACCTTTAATTCCTGTTAAGGTTTTCCATCCTTCTGCTCATTAATATAAAATCTTTCTTTAATTCTTAAGAAATCTAATTTTATGATTAAAATGCACACACTTTAAGTATACCTTGTGGGGCAAAATTTGACAGCAAGGGCCTGTTAACTTGACAGTTTTATAAAGGAATTATAGTAATTTCTACCAGTTAGAATTATCTCTCTTATCAGAATATCAATGAACCTTAAATTAGAATTATTTCACGAATTTTATGTTGCATATGCCATAACAGGTACAATCTATACAACTTTGTTCAAATCAGTAACTGCGTAAAAGACATCAGAAAGTTTGCCTTCACCAGAAATTGAACCCCTATCCTTTTGCACCATAACCATATTTCACCAGAACACCCATAAGAATTTTCATATTAAGGTAGAACCTATATCGGAAAAGTCTTTGTCACAGGATTTTCATACTTTTCAAAATGAGTAATTAGCACTTGCTTATTTATCAGTTAAAATTACATGGCATGTTTCCTTGTTATTAAATGTACTGCAGCCGGCGCAATTTGGAATGATTATAATATACTGCAACAGCCTTTTTTAGGGGGTACATGGTCATAAGGAGAATATAAAAAATCACAAAAATACTTCTTTAAACACCTTTCTTTATAGACTTTATTAATTAAAGAATAGTTAGGAATATTATCAAAAATTAATTTTGTTTTTCTTCAATTGACATTAAAGATTAAATCCACATTTCAAAAAATATATGCAAATACACTCAATATTTTTCAAAGGATATTTTAGTCCATCTACAACCCTAAATTTGTAAATATTTACTTAAAGTCTTTGTGACAGTGTTTTCAATCCTTAATATGATGAAGAACATACCCCAAATGATTACGAAGAATGATTAAAATAATTATATACCTTTCCCTGCAAACTAATGAGTGAGATGCTTTTTATCAATACTAGTCATGTTGACCTTTTTGCAATTACACACTATTTAGTATATAAATGAATGTTTTGGTGTTACTTTTAGATTTACAATATGAATATTTGTCAAAAAATGAAAATCTCTATTTAAAAAAATTAACTTTTTATCGAAATGTTATTATTATACACAATATAAACCACTAAAAATCCAAATGAATAATTAAGAAATAACTATGAAAATAAATACATTTCATTTCATAATTAACATAATTACAAACATTAAACACAATCTTTAATAGATTTAAGACTCAGATGATATATCATCAAGATATTGTACTATCTAATAGTCGACTGAAGATTTCTTAGCAACTTTGCATTCTTTCAAAATAGTTGCATGTCAATCACTTATCACAGTTGTGTATTTTCATTAGCTGAGACAGACTTGCATTCGTTCACTTAACTATGACGTCATACGACGTAGGTTCTACATTAAGTTTTGTGTCCATTACCTGGCTTCACTGAGACTGCTTAACATGTCTGAGGCTGCCTTCCTCTTCCACTCTATGTCTATCTTTGGCTGTGTACTCCATGGCATGGACTGTACAAGCTGAAACAGAAGAAATTCAATATAGGTCAAAGGTTCAAAGGTAAAGGTAATACAGGTTTATATATTAAAAAGTAATTTCTGTATGAATTTTCCCAGAATCTTAAATTATTAAAGAAAAAAATGTTGGGCAGTCTAAATCTATTTTTGATTAAAACATTATAGAATCGATAGAAAAGTGGACAAAAAAGTCACCCAAGATATGGTTTATTCTGAAAACTGAATCTGGGAAATTTTTATACTTTAAGAGGATATAGCTCTTTTAGACAAGGGTCATTTGTTTGATTAAATCTGAAAATGCATGTCTGCTTAAAAGATTTAGCATAGTGTACAAGGGTTTATTGTCATCCTGTGTTATTTTCATCCTATTACATTTCAAAACAATTTTTAATTACCCCTTTTTCAGTTGTAATAAAAGAAAAGTAACTCTTATCTCTGTTTAACTTGTGAATTCACCCACTGATGACAATGGTGAAAGGGATGAATTCAAATTGGCCCCAAATTTCACACAATATTTCTTTCACAGACTCAAATTGATTTCTTTGAAAGAAAACGGTCTTTAGTTACATCATTTTCATTGATTCCCTTTTTCTTCCTTTTTTGTTTTAATTTTGGTTTAGGAATAAAAATAGTACAAAAACTATTAATTTCTTATGAAAACTAAAATCACTGTAGAGAAAGATTTAGATACTCTAATGCTGTTAATTCATTGATACTTGCTGGCTCAAGCTTGTGTTAGTATAAACATACAGCACCGTTATATTTAAAAAAAAAAGAACACATCTAGAAAATGGCATTTTGGACAAACACAATGACAAATCCATTTTCATAATGATTAGGGTCATTGTTCATGCTATCTTCTTGAGACTATTTTTCAGCATTTGAGGAGCAGAAAATGTCATATACCGGTAGACAACACTTTTGAATTCAGAAAGAAAAAAGTGAAGAAGACGAGATTATATACCGACCTTCATTATGAGATTCTATAAAATCAGGGAGGATGATGAATTAGGAGGATGAACACACTGTTAATTTATATAGCATTACCGAATACTGTAATTCACTTTTAATTTGAGAGAACTTTATTTTCGCGAAATTATGTGAGACTGTCTGCTCACGAAAATTTCATTCTTGCATAAAATTCTACTATTAATTAAAAGATTAAATAGATCGAGTAGTAACCAAAATAAAAAAAAAAAATTGTTTCCGTAATAAATACCAAACAACAATATGGCAAAAATAAGGTGTCTAGTTGTGAAATTTTAGTGATCTACAGTACAGCAAGAACTGTGTACTGTATTTTTGCATAAAAAGTACTGTATGTTACAGAAAAGAGAACATTGCTGTTGTAAATCTGAGTTTTCAATAAGGGTGAATTATAGAACATTAGACAGGAATATCATGGTTGTACCATTTCTTTGAACATAGGAGTAAGTAAGGGTCAGAATATCTCTGCTGTACTGTATTTCTGTGTAAATGAATATCAGGATATCTTGGTTATACTGCATAATAGTTTTACCTGTTTCATCCTCTCCAATATGACCCTGATCAGAGAGGAACTTGACTGAAGACTTATCTCTACCTGGTAGGCTGAGTTCATAATCTGTAAAGATATACATAATTTAAATGTGTCCTAAGGCTTGTTACTTTAAAAGTGGGCATTTTTTTTGGGGGGGGGGGGGGGGGGAGGGGGGGGGGGATTTTACAATTTCCATGTAACAATGAAAGCATTCGTATGGGTGTTATTTTTGCAGAAGTTTAAGAATTTACAAAATGTGATGGATTGTTGTTTACATTGTAGTATATTGGTACTTTTTTTTTTTTTTGCAATATTCATGTGGTGATAGATTTTGTGAAATTATGTACAGCTTGCAAAATTTGCAAAAATTTCCACGACCTAAACATTACCATGTTTACAGTGAAATGGCAGAAAACATTTCCATTCATCTTTTTTTTAAATATGAGGAATTTCAAACATCAAGGATTCCAGATTTTTACCATTAAAACACAAAAATTCTTTAAAACGTGGTTAATAAGTATTAAGCATTTAAATACCGTGCTTTCTTTTGGACAGGTATATAATTATATTATTACAATTTTTTATTACATGATGGTGAGATTTGAAGATATATATTCAAGAACAAGAGGCCCAAGGGCCTTAACGGTCACCTGAGTATAATACAACAATTTAGAAGTTAAATACACTGACAGATGAAGCTTTTTTGCCCTAAAGCAAGAGAAGTAGGAAGATCAGGATCAACAAAATAATTAGTCTAGTATTCAGTATCAACTCATAAATTAAGTTCTAATCTGTGCTCCACTTAACACTATCACCATGCAGACTATTAACAAACTATTAGTGCTTCTGTACTATTTTTAAACCAATATTAAGACCTCTAGCATTGACCTCTCTTATGGTCTTTGAAGAACTTTTAATAAGATAAGTTATTTTTGTCTCATTTTTATTTATCTATTACTTACAGGTCTACCTGGTTATTAAAACTAAGAAAATACTTTTTGAATTATATGATAAACATTCTTGCATAATTATTTTATTCTATTTACCTTTCAAATACATTATTTACAGTGATTAATTATCAAAAGTGAACGGAAAAGGGGAATAACTTCTCTCAGTAGAATACAAATTAATAGAGCCCTGCCCAGGACTAGAATGCTTAGACAAATGGTCCAGATGTTCAAAAATCTGGTAGAAATGCGCTTACTTATATCATTTAAACTTTTACTCAGTTTTCTTCCGATATGCCCAGAAGCAGAGAAGAATTTCACAGGTACAATGCATTTTCACTACAGATTCAACAAAGCCTTACCCTAACACCAGAACCCAAGACCAAGGGTCAAGAAATTTACAGATTTGAAGAGTTACCCTCATCATCATAACTATGGACTTCGAAGAATTAACACTTTTCCACTATATTATCAAAAGCCCCCCCCCCCCCCTCGTTATGCCAGAACCCCTGACCCTAGGACCACAAGATTTAAAAATTCTGTTCGAAGCTCCCACTTTCATCATAGCTTAGCAATTTATTTATCAGCTCAATGCTAAGGAGCAGACAGGATTAATTAATGATTAATTAATAGAATTAATGCTTTTTCACTATATAATCAATAGAGCCCCCCCCTTCCTCAAGAGCCCCAAAAACTGAAGCCACATATTTAAAAATTTTGGAAGAAGCATCCTTGCCTATCATAATCATGCACTTAGTTTGTTTAAATAATCTCCAGTAGCAGAGAAGATTTTCAAAGAATCAATGCATTTTCACTATATAATCAATAGAGCCCCGCCCTAACACCAGAACCCCTGACCCTGGGGCCATGAATTTCACAATTTTGGAAGAGGCTCTCTTGGTCATCATAACTATGTATTTAGTTACTTTTTTTAATACCCAGGAGCAGAGAAGAAGATTTTCAAAGAAATTATGCTTTTTCACTATATAATCTATAGAGCCCCGCCCTAACACCAGAACCCCTGACCCTGGGGCCATGAATTTCACAATTTTGGAAGAGGCTCTCTTGGTCATCATAACTATGTACTTAGTTACTTTATTTAATACCCAGGAGCAGACAAGAAGATTTTCAAAGAATTAATGCACTTTCACTATATGATGTATATAGCCCCACCCTGAGGCCAGAACCCCTGACCCTGGGGCCATGAATTTCACAATTTTTGAACAGGCACTCTTGCTCATCATAACTATGTACTTAGTTACTTTTTTTAATACCCAGGAGCACAGAAGAAGATTTTCAAAGAATTAATGCATTTTCACTATATAATCAATAGAGCCCCGCCCTAACACCAGAACCCCTGACCCTGGGGCCATGAATTTCACAATTTTGGAAGAGGTACTCTTGCTCCTCATAACCATGTACTTAGTTACTTTATTTAATACCCAGGAGCAGAGAAGAAGATTTTCAAAGAAATAATGCACTTTCACTATATGATCTATATAGCTCCACCCTGGGGCCAGAACCCCTGACCCAGGGGCCATGAATTTCACAATTTCTGAAGAGGACTTCTTGCTCATCATAACTATGTACTTAGTTACTTTTTTTAATACCCAGGAGCACAGAAGAAGATTTTCAAAGAATTAATGCATTTTCACTATATAATCAATAGAGCCCCGCCCTAACACCAGAACCCCTGACCCTGGGGCCATGAATTTCACAATTTTGGAAGAGGTACTCTTGCTCTTCATAACTTTGTACTTAGTTACTTTATTTAATACCCAGGAGCAGAGAAGAAGATTTTCAAAGAAATGATGCACTTTCACTATATGATCTATATAGCCCCACCCTGGGGCCAGTACCCCTGACCCAGGGGCCATGAATTTCACAATTTCTGAAGAGGACTTCTTGCTCATCATAACTATGTACTTAGTTACTTTATTTAATACCCAGGAGCACAGAAGAAGATTTTCAAAGAATTAATGCATTTTCATGATATAATCAATTGATAGAGCCCCGCCCTAACACCAGAACCCCTGACCCTGGGGTCATGAATTTCACAATTTTGGAAGAGGCACTCTTGCTCTTCATAACTATGTACTAAGTTACTTTATTTAATACCCAGGAGCAGAGAAGAAGATTTTCAAAGAAATAATGCACTTTCACTATATGATCTATATAGCCCCACCCTGGGGCCAGAACCCCTGACCCTGGGGCCATGAATTTCACAATTTTGGTAGAGGGCTCAATGCTTGTTACAATGATGCCAACAGTTTGACTGCTTGATGTCCTGGAGTAAAGAAGAAGATTTTTAAAGATTGTATTATTTTTGGTGGTTTTAGCCCCACCCCTCAGGCCCCAGGGGGGCAGGGACCATGAAATTCACAATTTTTGTTCCCCTTCACCCATAGATGCTATATGCCACATTTGGTTGAAATTGGTTAAGCGGTTTCAGAGAAGAAGCTAAAAATGTTCAAATGTTAACACACGACGCACGACGCACACCGACGGACGAGAACGGATAGCAATAGGTCACCTGAGTGACTCAGGTGACCTAAAAATCATATTCCCTGGAAACATGAGGGGTTCCAAAAGGGGTTAGATACAGGATGTACTTTTTATTCTCTCTGTTACGGGAGTGTCTAAACCTTTTATAGAATTATTATATCGAGGTATAAAAAATATATTTTTATCTTATGAAAAGCTTTCATATTTAGTCTTATATATAGAGTAGTAATTAGTGAAATACTCTGATGATTTATAACCTGTTTGAGTGCCTCGCTTGTTGTCCCTGACTCATTGCCGTCCGTTTTGTCTATCCTCTCTAAACTCTCCAGACATCGTCTAAGGGTACCTATTTATAAGGAAGAAGACACTGGATCAGAAATCAGATGTGCTTATACAATGTATCTAATACAGAAAGTCATACATCTAATTTGAACTTTGAACTCATAGATCTGGCTTTAATTGAGTCCTTGACCTTAAGAAATATAAAATGCTGAAGTACATGTACGTGTAAATTTCGATAAACATTGTGAACAATCAAACAGATAATTATAACAAAGCCTAAAAGTACATGTATTTTCAAGCCCTAGATTTTTCAATCTCAGCCATCAAAATATTTTCCCAGGAGATTATATTGAAAAATGAATTATTCATGCATCTATACAAGGGTCCTATACAGGTGTACTAGACAGTGTCATGTGAACTTATGATTAACATAATTCTGTAGAAAAAGTGCATTTCTGAACAAAAGGTCCATACGGTAGCACAGATAGAGCTGTCAATGAAGTCTGGGTCGTGAACTTTAAAAATTTTGTAGGTCTTATTTTTAATGTTATCTGCAGCCCTGCTGATAGAGTCAATAACTCCTGACCTTGTTATTCTTAAATTTTTAATAATCAGCTGTTGACCTCTTTGTACCATACTCCCCTCATCAGATACATGTATACACCACCCTTATATGACAAATATAAGTTTTATCTCCTTCTACCAGATAAACAATCAAAATTTCATCTTCATGACCAAGCAAGTTTTCATTACATTGTCTCTATTTTTAAATTCTTGATTGTAATGTCATAATCACTAGAAATATACATTCTTACATCATATTCCCTTGTCAGAATTAAATATGACTAAAATACGAAAAGATATCCATGGAGAAATAATATGAATTACTACATATTTTTTCAAAGAATTAAAAGTGAACACATTTATTTTTAGACTTGCATGCAGTCTTGTGATATCAAAATTAAACAATTGTAGCCCTGTCATGAGATCTACCGTCTATACAAAGCATACATGTGATATGTACAGGCTGTACGCAAAATGTACAGTTTTTTGAGCCCATTCATCGTGTACCGGCGGGACACCAAAATTCACGGAATATGAAAATTTGTACAGTATTTTGAATTTCTCGCTAAATGCCACCATTTTCCTCTCATTCTCGCTCGCGAGACACTGGAAACGTCAGCTGTGTTTGACACTTGACCTTCTGATAATTGTGTAGTGTACACAAACCATCGCGTGCGAAGGTGTGAACTGCCAATTGGGATAATTATCTTGCTATAAATCAGTATCAAATACCCCTTTAGGTAGCTTTATTTTTTAAGGGGTACTTAATTACTGTTAAAGTTTCGTATACGCAACTTGATTGAAAAAAATTAAGCCAACTTCTAAAGTTGATATACATGACTTTAGTCTTAATATACGTGAATCTCACCCAGATCTTCGTAGGTATAAAATATACGATGTTTATTACAATGATTACAATGGAATTTCAGAAGAATTTAAGCGATATTTTATACCATTTTTTTGTACCGTTTTTTGATAGGCAGTGTACAGTTTTTTCACCCAAATTCCAGTTTTTTTATGGCTCCTGTACAGTTTTGTGGTCTTTGACTTATCACATGTATGACAAAGACTTAAATATATGAACTTCACAGAAAAGCATATCGACCAAGCAAGAAATGTGAAGTCAATTTATATGCTTTTTTGTGAAGTTCACATTTCTATGGATTGACTGAATGAGAGGGCTACATTTTGTTATATTATTTTTTTTAAATATTTGCAAAACAAAATTTGAAAATAATGGGAATTAACTTCAAGTAATTTTCTCTTAATTTTTATAACACATTAGATGAGAGATCAAAATAATTAAAGTAAACTCTTTTAACATGTGTTTTATGTAATTGTGTTTCCTCTATATTGATAGAGTAAAAGCTTAGCATTTTGATCTGGTACATTTAGTACCAAAATTAAAAATATTTGTTGTATTTTTTAATGATCACTTTATGAAACAAGAGGCCCATGGGCCACATCGCTCACCTGAGTGCTTTGGCCATGCTGTTCTTTACCAGATTTCCCCCTTGAAATACTCATTGTGGCCCCACCCTACCCCCGGGGGTCATGATTTTAATAATTTAAAATCTACACTATCCCAGGATGCTTCCACATAAGTTTCAGTTTTTCTGGCCCAGTTGTTCTTGAGAAGAAGATTTTTAAAGATTTTTCTTACATATTTCAATGTAAAACTTGGATTCCCTATTGTGGCCCTGCCCTACCCCCCGGGGTCATGATTTTTACAATTTAGCATCTACACTACCCCAGGATGCTTCCACATAAGTTTCAGTTTTTCTGGCCCAGTTGTTCTTGAGAAGAAGATTTTTAAAGATTTTTCTTACATATTTCAATGTAAAACTTGGATTCCCTATTGTGGCCCCGCCCTACCCCCGGGGATCATGATTTTTACAATTAGCATCTACACTACCCCAGGATGCTTCCACATAAATTTCAGTTTTTCTGGCCCAGTTGTTCTTGAGAGGAAGATTTTTTAAGATTTTACTTACATATTTCAATGTAAAACTTGGATTCCCTATTGTGGCCCCGCCCTACCCCCGGGGTCATGATTTTTACAATTTAGCATCTACACTACCCCAGGATGCTTCCACATAAATTTCATCTTTTCTGGCCCAGTTGTTCTTGAGAGGAAGATTTTTTAAGATTTTTCCTATTTATTTCAATGTAAAACTTGGATTCCCTATTGTGGCCCCGCCCTACCCCCGGGGGTCATGATTTTTACAATTTAGAATCTACACTACCATTGGATGCTTCCACATAAATTTCAGCTTTTCTTGCCCAATGGTTCTTGAAAAGAAGATTTTTCTTATATATTTCAACGTAAAACTTGGATTCCCTATTGTGGCCCCGCCCTACCCCCGGGGGTCATGATTTTAACAATTTAAAATCTACACTACCCCAGGATGCTTCCACATAAGTTTCAGCTTTTCTGGCCCAGTGGTTCTTGAGAAGAAGATTTTTAAAGATTTTTTCTATATATTTCAATGTAAAACTTGGATTCCCTATTGTGGCCCCGCCTTACCCCCAGGGGTCATGATTTTAACAATTTAGAATCTACACTATCCCAGGATGCTTCCACATAAGTTTCAGTTTTTTTGGCCCAGTGGTTCTTGAGAAGAAGATTTTTTAATGACCCCACCCTATTTTTGTCTTTTCTTGATTATCTCCCCTTGTAAGGGAACTTGGCCCTTTATTTTTACAATTTAAACTCCCCTTCACCAAAGGATACTTTGTACGAAGTTTGGTTAAAATTGGCCCAGTGGTTCTTGAGAAGAAGTTGAAAATGTGAAAAGTTTACAGACGGACGGACGGACAGACAGACAGACGGACGGACGGACGGACGACGGACAACAGGTGATCAGAAAAGCTCACTTGAGCTTTCAGCTCAGGTGAGCTAATAAATATATAAACATCTATGTTTACAATAGAGAATACGATAGATCAATATTCAAGGCACTGTTATGATTGTTATGATAACTTGCAAAGAGGAAATGAAGTATCTGTTTTTAGAAACATTAGTCATCATATAAAATTAATTCAACGTTTAATTTGATATTGTGAAGTCATCACTATTATTGATATGCTGTTGCAGTGTATATATATTACATGTACTTAATCATGTGATCAAGTTTGAGCCAATCAAAGAGCTGCGAATATTACAGAAAAAATAATAATTAACTATTAAATTATACAAAATAATATTTATAGGCCTTTTAAGAGGTTGGTCCATAGATATATTGGCTTCACAGAAAAGCATATTGACTATAAGCATGAAGTGCAAAGTCCATATGCTTTTCTGTAAAGTCCATATATCTATGGATTGACTGAATCAAAGGGCTACATTTGTTATATTATTTTCTTTGAAACAGAAAAAATAGAGACATGCTAATTAATTTTATAAGAATTTGTAAGTTTAAAAGACTTTTAACCATTTTAAATACATCTTTGAAATTTCCCTATGTTATTTGAGTAACTCAAGACAATATCGTAATTTAAAATATAATTTAGCACTTGATACCAAGCATTATCCAATCAGATTTATTGAATTACACGGTAAAAATAATATCGAATTGATCGACGCTTACATCTAAGTGATTTTTATTAACAGGGCTATAATGAAGGAAAATTGCCCATCCCTTACAGTATCCACCAATATCCCTATTCACTAGAAAAACTAATATCAAAAGATAATAACTGTTAATTTTAAACAATGCATATGACCTTCAATTTGAATTTCAAGTTTTAGCTGATAACTAAACTACTGTTCAAAAACTGTTCAACAGGTAAATAATTGTCCAATCACTGACAGAGTCAGACAAATAAACAACATGCTTGGAACTTCCTTAATTCACCCACATGCTGAAAAAGAATGTCCCCAATGCTGACATTCACATGTTGTATTTGACATGTGTCTGATCTCAGTCTACATTGTTTACTGTACAAAGCTCAGTTGTTAACACTGCCATGATAAGAAACAAATGGCCGTGATATGACACAAAGAAGGAAATTCTCCTTAAACTTCTGAAGCCTAAAGCAAGCAGTGCAATTTCAGTCACTCTACAGAAACAAGAGAAATGTGTAAGGTCCAATTGGCCAATGAAGTCCTAATAATATTGTACATGTACATAAATTGGCGTATTCAAAATTTAGCCTATAATTCACTGGGTATGGAGTTGTTGGCGTAATCATGAATTAGCGCTACACATGTCCATGCCGTGCATTGTATATATAAATGACTTATATTTCTTAGTGGTATTCATAAATTAGTGCATCTTTGTCTGCGCCAAAGCCGCTAAAATATGAAGCCTGCTTTTTTAAGTGCACATACAGTACAAGATATGACCAAGGATTCTTTACACTACAGAATGATCATTTTATGGATTCCAGGACACTACTTCTTTTCTGATTATTATATACAATTAAACCTCATTATCTCGAACTTGATGGGACCGAGAAAAATCTTTGAGATATCTGAGGATTTAAAATATCAATTAAAATACATAAATAAAGAGCAATTGGGACTTAAAAATTACTTCAACACATCCACAGTGTACGAGATACTGAAGTTCAATTCTATATATACAATCTTTCTTTTCTATTGCGTTGGTCACAGATTTGTTTGCTAGTGACTAGACAACTCTGTTAGTAAAGCACCTGTCTAAGAGTTCAAGGGGTTTGGTTCGAATCCTGGTCAGTTCCATTGAATTATCTCTCTTCCTGGTACATTTGGTGCCAGGTTTTAATCCTGGTCAGATTGCCAAATTTTTTCCCTACAAGTTTCACTATAAATTTTTAAATTATGTCACAAATTGTGTAGATCACCTACTTTTCCTTCGCAAAAGTTCTGAGGCTATCATATTTGTTTTGATATGCTGTGTATTTACACAAGCAGTCTTACCATTATTCATCTGACAATTATAAATTGATTTATAAAACTTCAGGTAGTCATGGTAGTTTTGTATGTGTGTCGATCTGCTTATTATATAGACATTTTTTTCCAAATCGTACTCATATAAATAACATTCAGCAGACATCATACATATACTATGTAGATTTTAATTGTGTCCCTTATCTACTGCACTCTTATATGTAATATGTTTTATTAGAGGAACTTTGGTACACAGGGCTCGACATTAACTTTTTTTCCTACTTGTCCATTCGGACAAGTGACCAAGACATTTACTTGTCCGAACTTCACTTGTCCGAAAATTTTTCAATAGAGATCTAATACTGTCAACTTGAAAACTAAAATAAAGTCCATTACACATGGCATGTGCTTGATTGACTCGTGATGTAATTGATAAATACAAAAACACATAAAACGAATTTTTTTCTAGGCTTTCTGTCCTGACAACAACATAAATGTCCACATTCGTTAAGTTCGTAAGTTCCATGCCTGTTCCGTAGTATGCAATTAGTGAACTTCGATCCCGATCGAATGTGAACTCAATTAACGATCTCTATCGGGATCGAAGTCCAGTTTTTATGTACAGCTTCCGTCTTGAATTTACCGATTAACTTTCAACAGTCGTTCTTTTTATTATTTAGAGACTCTTTTACATTAAAATGCACTTGTCCAATCGGACAAGTGCCCGGCAATATTCACTTGTCCGTAATTTTTTTTCAATGGTACCGGACAAGCGGACAAGCGTTAATGTCGAGCCCTGGTACATATAAACTACAACATGTACATAATATACAAGGAATACATTTTTTAAAATCTTAAATTTCAATATCCAATTCACAATGTTTCAGTCAAACTTTTTTTTGGTCCATAACTTACAGATATTGCAGTTTATTTGAATGTGTACAGGTATGCATGAATGAGGGACCCTCTGTGTGAATTCAAAATTAAACAACCCATTGGACCATATCAGGTTTATGAATCTGTAGAGGCCATAGCTTAACTCTCTATACCTAGGGTTGTCCCTGAGACCCTTGGGCCAGAGAATTTCCCCACCAATACTGACATAATCCCTGGTTATTCAAACCTGTTAGGGGAGGAACCCTAGACCCCCTTCTACTTTTTAAATGTCTCATCTATTCCGATTCTTAGGGAAACCCTGTATACAATATGGTATACCTGTATAAAGAGTCTCTCGATCAGTACATCTAAAGACTACACCAGTTTAACTATTGACTAGTTAGCTTAACTATCTTTACCTGTATAAGAGTCTCTTAGTATATCTATAGACTCCATCAGTTTGTTGGCTACAGCTTGGTTTAGGGCTCCGAGAACTAGTTCCTGTATCTGGTACGTACAGATCTTCAGGCCTTTCTGAGTCAAAATCTCTCCTTCTGCATTAAAATCTACACCTACAAATTACAAAATAAACTTGTCACATATATACCGGTATCATGTATGTTTCCATTTCTATTTGTTTTCTCTGTGATAACTCTTTGAAAGTTAGTTGAGTTGATTTCTTGATTATTCTACCAGAAAGTAAATTTTGAAAAGCAATAGCTCAGAAGCTAAGGAGGCCTAATATGCATGTAAATCTCGTGTGTCTGTCTTTGTGTCTGATGCTCAGGAGGCCTATTATGCATGAAAACCTCGTGCGACTGTCTTTGTGTTTGACGTCAGTGGGCGGGGACTATTGAAATTGACATGGGAGGCCTCGTGTAATTTAAATCTAAGTCTACATCTTTAAAATCTAAATTTACAATTTTATTTCACAATAAAATTGAAATATAAGGAATCACTGTCTATAGTTAGTAGAGTATGCTAGGGACATCAACGATAGTTGGAAACCTGGGATAATTTATGCATAATGGGCTTCCCGTTATGCAAATTATCCCACGTTTCCAAATATCGTTGATGCCCTAGCTGGCATACTCTACTAACTAGACAGTGATTCCTTAAATATTTGTATGTTATGTTGACTATATTATACCAATAAAGGAAAGGGGCACTACATGGCATTAGAAACATTCCTTGCTATATATAATGAGAAATGTTTTGTGAAGAGGAATCACAACTAACCAGTGTGTGCAGGTCAGTGACCAAGTTAATGTTGGAGGAAATCAAATGACACCTCATAAACTGGCACAAGGAATAAAAGAAGAGATTTTAGCTATTATAAAACCAGTACCTTTTCAGCAGGGCTGAAAACTCTTTTTTTAAATAGATTTTTTCAAATTTATAAACATTAAAAATTATCAATATGGCAACTATTAGACTAGTAATTCTGTGAGCCAGCTTCATGCACTGGTCTAAGATAAAGTAAGCACATGTACAAAATTGTACTTTCTATAGGTCTCCAAGTGTCAGGTATATTTATACATGTGGACACTGAAAGTCAGACTTTCATTTTCCATTTACCTAGAAATTCGTACTCCTCTGCCTTTCTGATCAACTGATCCCTCATGTCACCGATTGTCTCAGCGATCATTTTCCTGATTTCATCCCCCTTTTCAACAGCTATGGCCATTAATTGTTTAAAAAGCTCTGTTTCCTTTTCTCTGGCAAACTCTAGCTTTTTTGGGGTAATTAGCATGTCCCTGGCCATGTCAAAGGCGGATATGATGAACATGTTGAGACAGCGAGCATGAGAATTGTTTAATACAGTGGATGAGTTCACTAAATACCGTTGAAGAATCTGTTGCACAAATTGTAGGAATTTCTGAGGAAAGAGCTCAAAATTTTCCACAAATTCACTGTCAACTTCATAATAATCTGAAGTGATTGTATGTCGCATGCTTCGGACACCTGGCGAATCATTCAGGTAACCGATTTTACACAATTGTCTAAACACTTCCGAATTTGACTGAATTTTTCTTGTAATCTCTTTTGGCACATTTGTATAATTAGGTTCTGGCATGACCCTATACACAGGTTCATCAACACTAGAACTAAGATTATAACTGTCTTTTTCCTGAGTTGCTCCTCTTTGTTGCCTCTTCTGGATTTCCTCCTGACTGGTAGGAGCGCCATCTGGTGGATCCAGATCATAGTTTTTTTGACCAGGGGGAGGAACTCTGACAAAACAGACTGGCTGATAATGGCTGACATTGGAAAGTTCCTTTAAAATCTGTACATCCTGAAAAAGTCAATTATGAGTGAGTTAATCCTGCTTTGATATTTGACTTAGAATCATGCAATTTACTAATAAAAGATATAATATAATTTAAATTTTACACTTGTACATTAATTACAAGCATGAATAACACTATTCAATTTGAATTTCCATGATAACTTCTTTATAATTATCTTCAACTAAGCCCCCCTCTCTTCTAAAGCCATGCTTTTCATTTCAGATTGCTCAAGAAGTTAAAACATAGGTAATCAGAGATTACAGAGCTCACCTCAAGGAATGTTGTCTTTAAGTAAGGCAAAGTCCAACACTAAACTAATAATCTAGGAGTGTGCATCCCTAGATGCAACATTTATGCAATTTTGGTCTGATAGGGCTTGCAGTTACTTGGGAATAGACTTATCTGAAAACTTAAAACTAGTCACTCATTCAGAAAATGTAAGTCAAATCCAGCATCCGAAGCAAGTTTTGAGATTGTTCGTCCCTTGACGCATCATCCATGCAAGTTTGGTTCAGATAGGCCTTATAGTTACTTGGAAATGAGATCTGCTCCAAAAACTTTAATCTGGTTACTCATCTGGAAAATGTAGGTCAGATCCAGCATCCGAAGCAAGTCCAGTAGTGTGAATCCTTAGATGTATCATCCATGCAAGTTTGGTCAATATAGGGTTTATAGTTACTTGGAAATGACATCTGCTCCAAAAACTTTAACCTGGTCACTCATCCAGAAAATATAGGTCAGATCCAGCATCCGAAGCAAGTCCAGTAGTGTGCATCCTTAGATGTATCATCCATGCAAGTTTAGTCAATATAGGGTTTATAGTTACTTGGAAATGACATCTGCTCCAAAAACCTTAACCTGGTTACTCATCCAGGAAATATAGGTCAGATCCAGCATCCAAAGCAAGTCCAGTAGTGTGCATCCTTAGATGTATCATCCATGCAAGTTTGGTCAATATAGGGCTTATAGTTACTTGGAAATAAGACCTGCTCCAAAAACCTTAACCTAGTCACTCATCCGGAAAATGTAGGTCAGATCCAGCATCCGAAGCAAGTCCAGTAGTGTGCATCCTTAGATGTATCATCCATGCAAGTTTGGTCAATATAGGGCTTATAGTTACTTGGAAATGAGACCTGCTCCAAAAACTTTAACCTGCTCCAAAAACTTTAAAGGTGCATAGAAACAGATTTGAAGTTTATATTTCCTCAGATTTCCTGTATGGTATCACAACTTATATGTTGCTATAGCATTTCACACGAAAATAAAATTAAAAACTTATTTAATCTGGAAATTACTGAAACTACGAATTTTGGGAGGCGTTTGATTAACACATCCTCGCACTTTCACAATTTTTAACTTTATCCTTAATACTTAAGAAAAATAGCAATTTTGTTGTGTATTAATGAATAATATTATATCTATAATCCAGAAAATTCAGAGTAAAAATGTGCGAAAACAAAACCCACTCACTTAAGTATTGTCAGCCCGTGCTCAGTGTTGTGTAATTGTGTAGAGTTTAACAAATTGAATACACCCGTGAAACATAAACTGTTCTTGTACACAGGGCACGAGCTCTGTTGTTATTAATATTAATGTTTATGTTTCACCGGGTGTGTTCAATTGTTATACTCTGCACACACCACTGAGCACGGACTGACAATACTGGTGAGAGGATTTTGCTTTCTACATTTCTACTCTGACATTTCTGCATTATAGTTTTAATATTTTTCATTAATAAACAACAAAATTGCTACTTTTCTAAAGTAATAAGGATAAAGTTAAAATTTATGAAAGTGCAAGGATGTGTCTATCTAACGCGTCTAGAAATTGGAAGTTTCAATAACTTCCAGATAAAATAGGATTTTTATCAAAGGATGACTGCACTTAAGGACCTGCGAAAATTGCGACAAAATAAACTTTTAAAACAAACATTTTTCTTTTAATTGCACGAATGGTCAACATCTAATCTACAACTTTATGTAATTACATTAAATAAAAGTATGTATTTACGAAGTACGAAGCTGTTTTCTAGGGCGGGGGTCATCACAATTCCTTGAATTTCCGTACGATAATGAGGACGCCCACTTTTCACTGACTTTATACATAGTCAGCGCATGTTTGTCTATTGTTCTCCGTTTAACAGTAGTTGTATATTTGCATTAATAATGTTGTGTCAAAAGGAGATTAATAGACAAACATGCGCTCATGGTTTAAACGAGAAAAAACTGCCTCTTCTTAAGTTCGCTCTCCCTATTGTAACCAAGGGCTGTGACATGTTGAATATTATAATTCACCACGTGATTTCCTACCTCAGGTAACTCTGTGAATACTAAATTCCATCACGTGACTTGTAAAGTAGCATGTTTTGTGCTAACTAGGACAAAGTGCTCGAACACGTTAAATTGTTAGACATTGATTTAAAAGATTCTTTACTTACATGGACGTCGCTCATATTGTTAATTTCGTTTTTGAAACCTCTGAAAATAGTGTACTTGTGCAATACAGAATAAAGACGGAATGGGAAAGAGTGCATGATCTCGTATTTTTTAATATATGTCAGTGTTATTTACCTAGTCTAATTTTAGACCCATTCTTGCAATATTAGCTCCACCTCTCATGCATACCTAATGTTTAATCAAGGGCAGGTAAGGCTAAATTCTCTATATTTGGAAAGAGTAAGGGCAGAAAACATAGAATCATTTTATTGTATCACAGTCTAAGATCATTTTAATATTTAAATTCGGTTCGAAATTGACAGGATTCTTTCATTACCCGGTAATAAATAAAAATAAGATAAGATTATGATATAAAAGCAACAGAAGCGACCGAAAAAGACCCAAAACCCGGCGTTAAGTGCAGTCATCCTTTTCAATGACATATGAAATGCTATAGCAACATAAAAGTCATGAAATTATATAGAAAATTTGAGTAAATATTAACTTCAAATCTGTGTCTAAGCACCTTTAACCTGCTCCAAAAACATTGACCTGGTCATTCTTTAGCTGAAATTGCAGCATCTGAAACCTTGACTGGTACAATGAAACACACTAGAAGCATCCTCCATGCATCTCTGACTAATATAGGCCATAGAAGTACTTGAAAAGAAAACTGCTCCAAAAACCTTAACCTGGGACACTGACGCCGACACCGATGCCGACACGGTATTACATAAGCTCCCCCAACTTCGTTGAGGTGAGCTAAAAAAATACCAAAAATATCATTTAAAGACAAAACACTGTACATGCCATTGTGTTTATCATATCAATAAGCTCAGAGAAACTTTCAATGAAAACTAAAAAAGTATACCTTTTCTGGAAGAATCTCATCCTCGTAGCAGTAGATAAGAATGGGGGACACTTCCTCTACACAGTCAGCATACACCCTCCTTATATCACAGTGGGGGGAGGAGGGGGACACAATTACCCTGGCTCCATGTCGAAGGAGAACATGATTCAAATTCACCTCCAACAAAGCTAGTCCAAGAGCGGTGTCCCCAATCTCATTATCGTTTATCTCTAAATCTTTCCTTGGAATCGTCTTCCAGGGTCCTTTATATGATTCCAGATTATCCACAAGGTCATAATCATCCGGAAGTTGGAGACTAACAGATAAATTGTGTCCGTGTTTAAATCGCACCATCCGGTAATTGCCATTTTTTTCAGATTCACTGTATTCTAGAGGAAACAGGCTTCTGTTGAAGATTTCGTTGATGAGTCGACCTTTGGTGTAGATGTTCTGACCGAGGATCACGATCCCTGGGGGTTTGGTGGCCGTCGACAAAACCTCCTCCTCTTCCTCCTGGAGAAGTTCCACGGTAAAAAGTTGTCCTGGAAATTTAGAGGAAAATTGGTTTTCACATATTTATCAATTAAAATATGTATCACATTTAATTTACATTAGAGACAAACAGAAGAAAATTGTTTTGTTTTTTTTTTTTAATGTATCTGTAGCCAATATATTGACTTTTTTATAATTACAAGAAACAGGTATGCCTTATATCAAGGTTTGCTATAACATGATTTCTTACTGTATAATTTGCCAATTCAAACCAACATAATTTCTCTTCTCTAATATTTGATAAATTAAAGATTTAAACTTAATTCTATGACTAATAATAAAATAAATAATTATGATATGTTCATCATTTTACATGTAAATAAATTATGAACATGTTATAATTAATTTTTCAAAATTCTTCAATATTCAACATAAATCAAGATTGTCATTTAAATTACTATGTACGAAAAACTAAAGAAAGACTTTCATCTTTTTGAGAGCATTAAATTAATTAACATGAATATTATAATTATATGCACATGTTTAACAGCTAGTTTTCAATGAATTGACAAATTTTGAAAGTTAATATTTATCATGTTTATTGTGTAACAATAACAAAATTAGATTAGAATATTCCTGATCAAATGCACAATATTACACATGCATACATTAATAAACTATGCATTTAATTTTTAAAACGATCTTATTTTAAATTATCAAATATATTTCTTAAGAAATAAGCACTGCTTTATACTTCATACTCTTTTCCATTTGATATAAATGCTACATGATTGTATAGTTGTTGAAGAAAATCAATATGGGACTTTAAACTTTACAGCAAAGGGTCATTAACCCCATAATCATGATAATATTCAATACTGTGAACTCCTAGCTGTGTCCTTGCAAATAATTTAAAAATAAATTATATATTATTTTGGATTCTATAATTTTTTTTTTCAAATGTTAATCTGCAAAATAATTTACTCTAATTCTGATCTTCATACAAATTTTTAAGACATAATTATGAATAATTTCTCTAATATAACATTCTAATTCCTATAAAACAAACTGCATGACTGTCATGTGATATACAAACAAGCAGTTCACGCACGTCCACGATTTTCACTAATTATTGTGTCGTTAGAGTAGATTAACTCTAAGAGGAGAAGTTACCTTAAGAGATCTGACTCTCTATAGTCATAAGATTTAATACAAGGATTACATATGCCCAAAGTCACAAGACCTGCACGGGCCCCCACATGAATGTAATTCCATGCATGCAAGGTCAACATCAGAACTTCTATAAAAAGTACACAATGTTAATTCATTAAAAGCTTGTAGATATATGTATATTAGAGAAGTCGAGTAAAAACAAAGAAAGTGTGAGCGTCACGAGTGCGTCCGTCACCTGCAGGACTTTCGGTAACCTTGAAAGACAGCAGACTTCATCGGGGTTTGGGAAAATGAAATGTTCATCCTTATCTTAATATCATTTAAGGCTTAATATCTGAACTTTCTTTTTAAAACATTGACATGATTGAGAGATTAAATAGCAACTTGAAAGCGTGCATTATAAGAAGGAGGTGCTTTCTTAAGGAATGCAATTCATTTTGCAGCTCTGTTCTAAAAATTGTTAAAAAGAGATTTATGGTCAGAAAACTTTTTGGTGTATACGCATATTAACACAATAATACAAGAAATTTTACATTTCTGATCAAAAGATTAAGTTTTTCTGCTCCACTTGTTGCACATTTTTCAGACACAATTTACATCAGATATGTAAAAATTAGGGTGCATGTTTTTTATTTGCCTAGGTAAGCATTCACCCATTATTTTCAATCTTAACCAATAAATGAATAAATTAATATACATCTGTACATAAATCAAAGAAGGAAAGAAAAAATTGCGGATAAAAATTAGTGCAATTATGGCCTCGTCAAGATTTAAGATATCTAGCAAAGATAAATCAAATTATATACATCACTTTAATTCATATTATTTTTATTTTCTATTCATTTTTTTTTATTTTTATTCAATGAGCATGGAATTAGTACTTATGGACAAGAAAACTTAATTTAATATGACTATAAGGTTTATAATAACCTCTTTTTAAATTTGTTTTTCCATTTCACACACATTTACAAATGGTACGCCACTTAATAACTTTTTAGCATAAATAGTTTTTACTTAAAGTAAGACCTAACTAAAACTATCCACTTTTCAATTTTTTTTTTACATTCCTTTGGTGCTTACTTAGCTGAATTTGCTATTGAAAAAAAAAAACAAAACTTTTTTTCACCTGTGTCCGCCTAAATCAATTACTATAGTATATAGGTAAAAGACCTGTGGTTATAATATTAATTGTCCAATCTGTTGTCCAGCATGGTGTCAGCTCTAGCATACATGTATATCAATAACCCGATAATAGCCCTAAATGTCTGTCATGGTACTAATCCATTAAACTTTTTTATATGTACAAATAATGTTTACCAGTAGTCGTTTATGTTTATTTAGCAAAAAAATCATTTTCTGTAATAAAAGTGTATCAGTTACTGTCAGTACGAGAAAAAAAAATTTGGGCATTATTTGAAGGAGACAATGATTATTCTGGGGGACACTGAACTCAGGATAAAAATAAGATATACACAGCTCTATTTTTATTCCATTCATCATACATCAGGTACATATTTTGACAAGCATAACCAGAATACACAGGTGAGATAATGTATTATCTGACAACAAATATATGGTGGTCAAAAATGCTAATGACTGCATGTTCACAGATCAAGTTGATAGGGTTAAGGGACGACCATTTGATTCTGAAGAGGGGGGGGGGGGGGTGCTGGCAGATTTTGGAAATAAATAATTTGTCCTCAAAAATGTTAAAAATAAATAATCTGTCCTCAAAAATGTTTAAAATAAATAATCTGTCCTCAAAAATGTTGAAAATAAATAATCTGTCCTTGACTAGCATTGCTAGACAGATTATTTATTTTCTTAGAAAATAAATAATCTGTCCTTCACTGGTGGTAAAACAGTACACCACCCCCACCCCCACCCCCACCCCCCCCCCTTTCGAAATAGAATTCTGGAGTTTGGTTTTTTGTTTTTGCTTGTCAAACCTTTTTAAGAGAAGAAGACAATAAACTATCTGTCCTTGACTGGCATGAAATAAAAATAATCTGACTCAAAAAATTTTTGCCAGCCCCCCCCCCCCAACCTAAGAATAAATGGTCATCCTCTTCTTCCCATATACCGGTATCAGCTATATTAATCAATAAACCTCATAATTACGATCATCTCCATGCTTATCAAATTTTTTGTTACAGACTGTCGGTTACAAATCATTTCAGTTTTTTTCCCCACATACATTGGCTCTTATTTCTTTGATATTAGGGTGGTTATTTGGTCCCACTCCAAATGTGAGAAAATAGACTTACTTGCATAAGCCCCTCCTCCCCCCCCCCCCCCCCCAATTTTTTTTTTTTTTTTTTTTTGTGACTTCCATTTACAGTTCTGAGTAAAAATGAAGTAAGAATAATTTTAAAAAACAAAGTTAAGCATGTTAATTAAAGACTTTTAAGCTTCAATCAGATCTGTCTTTTAATTTTCTCTATATTTTATAACAACTAAAGTTTCCAAGGAATGTCTTTCAGGTCAATTAAGGTCCTCATAGAGCAATATATAGAGTAAGATACACTTTATTAATAACAAAGTACCAGGGACAGATGATTTTTCTTGTTTAATACATGTATAAACATAATTCGTTATATCCATTGAATTCACAATATAAGACTGCGGAACATTAACTGGCAAAATTGGAAATTAACTGGCAAAATTGGAAATATGCAGCTTACATCATTTCCGTCTGTTACAATCAAAACCTTTAATGATACACAATGGAATGGGCGGGTACAATTTGGCATAGATGTCCGAGAAAACACTGGATTGAAATTTTAGTTTGAAAATCATTTTCAATCCACCTCAGCTACGCTAGAAGGCAATGGGTTACTGATTGACCCAGATGACAAATAATTTCAATTTCGGAATATTTTGAAGTTTAAATATATAAATCAGAATTTCTGACCAGTGTTTTTAAAGAAATATAAAGAGACAAATATTTGATTTCTGTTAGGTATGTGCATGCATGTGTTGGGGTGGGGGGGGGGGGGAGGGAGGGGGCTGAACGATCTTGGAAATAAAAAAGAAAGTTTTTTTAGTATGGACAATCCCTCCCGGTTTTTGATTGTCAAACATTTTTCAGTGAAGACAAAATTAAAGACGTTTAATACCTCTTGTCATCCTAGAAATAAATATATTTTGTCATGTGAAGGCATGATCTGACTCGACAATTTTTAACCCCCCACCCCACCCCCCTTTCTAGTATCAAATAGCCATTCCCTGAAAAAATAATCTCTGTCTTCTATGACATTTACCTGTCCTTAAAATTATAAGCTAAAAACTCATATAAACAATGATGAATATGAATTACAAACAACATGTATTTGGGAATTGAAATTATTTATCTTTTGGATTCACACTCTGCATTTGAAAACAGCTGAGGTGGATTGAAAATGAATTTCAAACTAGAATTTTAATCTCATGTTTTCTCAGACATCCGTGCCGAATTGTACCCGCCCATTTCATTGTCTATCATTAAATGTTTTGACTGTAACAGATGGAAAAGACGAAAGCTGTATATATATTTCCAATTTTGCCAGTTAATGTTCCTTAATGCTTTTATTTTAAAGCCACAAGAAATGAAAACCACTTTGCTGTATATATACATACATACATACATACATACATATATATATATATATATATATATATATATATATATATATATATATATATATATATATATATATATATATATATATATATATATATATATATAAGCATCAATTCATTACAGAATGATGCAAAATTTGACAATAAACTGCTTTTTAAACTTGAAATTTTGTTAAGGGTAAATATAGTCACTTTAAATCCCAGATAAAGTTATCTCTCTTATCTAAAGGTCAATGAACTTTAAATCCTTATAACAGTGGAACAATTTGTTGTTTTTTTCTCATTCATATTTTTTTCCAGCTTTAGTCTGGAATTCATCATGCACTTAGGAATTACATAGCTAGAAATCAACTTCCAGAATTATTTTAGGAATAAAAATATGACTTCCTTCCTTAAGCTTAATAAGAGAGGAGCTATCTATCCAGTGATATGAAGAGCTCTTCTTTTTATCTATATCTTTTTTTTTTTAATTTATTCATGAATAACTTGGTTTGAAGTTTTCAACAAAGGACAATACATTACAAAACACTAAGACAACTAATTTAGTGTAAAGCCATCAACTTTGAAGTTGATGAACTTGCAGCCAATGGAGTTAATTAAATTCACAGGGTTTGACATTAACTTTTACAATTTAAGTACTGGATCAATCGAGCTACTTCTGATAATTTCTTATAATCACTAGCCCTGACCAAACTTGCTAATTTAATTCTTACAATGGAGAATTTTAATGAGGTATCTTTCAAAACTATACTTATTAAAGACATTATCTTGCATGTGTCAATATTTTTGACAGACTGTTCGATAGGTCAACTGAGTCGAATTCATTGGGACATTCGAGTATTATAAACCTTAAAGAACAATATTCAACAAACTTTAATAAAATAATTATCTTAAATATTAATAAATCAATTTAAAACTATACTATACATAACTATTTATACCATATTGATACTGAACTACTGTGACAGTAAGTTTCGAATTCAACTTGTCAATTGCCATGATTACAGCCCTGGCTATATAAAAATAGCGATTGTGTCTTGCAGGGATTTTTTTTCTTCACTCAGCAATGGCTTCAGAGAAATAAGAACAATTCTTTAAAAGTTTTTAGATTTTTTATTTGAAAGACTGAAATGGGAATTTAAGTTATTTTATCAACACAACCAATCGGTCTAGTTCAGGTACATTTAACCGACCGGACCACTCATTTACAAGACTGGGTCGGTCGGACGTGCCTAAGTATCAAACCCTGGTTCATAAGGCAAATAATAAGGGTGGCATTAAAATGACATCTGCCCTTTCAGCATGTGTTTAATGCATAGGTACCTGCAGACATTTTTTATATATATACTTAAATAAATATACTTCCTACTGAATCCTACATAATTAGGTAGGGGGTATATTTTTTATTATAATTAAGAAAAATAATTAATATCAGGTGCCTTAATTAGTGGTTTAAATTAATGTGCATTAAAGGAAAGCCATTCTGACAAACATGATAAGCCTATATCATATTTAGTAATTAAGACTGAATGACAATATGTGTCTTGACCAGTGAGTATAAAAAATAACAACATTATGTTAGCCCCAGTGGTCTGGGTTTGACCAAGATTTGACCAACATTCTACTCCCTGACATTTATGCAAATTAAAACAACATATGACCATGGTACATAAAAAATATGTAAATCTGGATACTGGCAATTTTTTCATGATTTGAGCATATAACTTTAGAATTCATCTTACATGTGTATAGTGTCTTTAAAATATTTATTTTTAATTGAAAAAAATGCTGTATGAGTGTTAATTGTTTTGAAATTATATCAAATATCATTTTATAATTAAATATGGAAGGGATAAAAAAATAATATAATAAATTAAAATAGAATCAACATGTTCAGCATGTTCGAAAGACTGAATTTAAATGCAAGATTCTTTTTCATTTTATACCACTGTGCGCCAAAATGAATCTACATGTAAGTCACATAAGTAGGACAATACATTTTAAAGGCTATATTAACCATAATTAAGTCAGAATATGTGATCTAGAAATAGATGGTACAGTATATCAAAGTAACAATAAATTCATATATATGCAGTTATGTAGATGTTCAAAATCCATTGTGCTACCATTAATATTGAATTTTTACAATATGAAGCCACAATTAAAAAAAAAGAAGTTTTTCCCATTGCTACCGACCGAGTGAGAGGAGAAAGTCTGCACTCTTAACCACTTGATATGGCCTTCGGGCGTTTTTGGTTTGTATTATAGACAACCTTCCTCTGTTTGAAATCATTTACTCTTTATCATCTGAGCCCAAGGTTGGCCAACATGAACAATCGTGTAACATTGAAATTTACCTGCGTGATATTAATAAGAAATGTAGAAGCATTCACGACAGGTTATTTAGTGTCCGTAAAGAAGCGAAAAGTAACCCAAAAACTAGAGTTTTAGTCCACGGTTTTTGTTTGTCCAACAGGAAAATGTACATGTCATTATGAAGAATTTGAAACATCTTCAAATTTGAAATCTCCAAATATTGCATTTAATCTTGTCAATTAACTTTTCCTTAATACTTTTGCCTTTCCTCTATTCCTCATTTATACCATATGATTATTGTATGTATTATATGTACCTATCTTTTTTCTCTTTTTTTTGTCCTCTTTCACTTCCATTTTCTGAATAAGTATATCAATAGACTTATATCTGTACCTCTGACCTGAATTTATATATATACTGTAAATATTTTCATTGTCCTCATGTACCATATATTTTAGATGGTTTTGAGTGAATAAATGAACATGAACTTGATCTATCGAAGCAAGTTAAATTGAGTTATGTCATATACATTTAAGTTCATCGAACTGTACAGATTTTTAAAGATTTTCTCATTGTTCTTATTTCATTCATTAGCAACAGCTGAGCAATCTAGCCTTGGTGATTATGGTGATTGAGAATTAACTATACAGTTCCCTTTGATATCAGAGATTAGATCTTTAAAATGCAACTTAATGACATTTCTTTGGCGTTGATTCTCCCTTTTACAGATGTTTAAAACAGCATGAATAATCATAAATGGTTTTGACTTTCATTTTCAACTCACCGACTTCGTGTCGACCATCCTCGTTTATATCATTAAAACATCGCTTGGTATCACTGAGAATTGTTTTAAGGCGTTTTGTACAGTTACAGAAACGACTTAGTTCCGCGGGGATGTTAGCCATCATAATGAAAGGCGCTGAAGACCCCGAATTTGTCCAGGAAATCACTCATCTCAACGCCATAGCATCTTCACTGCACAGTGGTCTCCATCTGAAATGGAGTTGTCGTTCTTGGTTTAGGCCAACGATAGTTATTTTTTCGTTTTGGCAAGGAGTTTCAATGGGCACTAGGGGGTCATGAAATGTTTACAAGCCACAGTCTTCTTTGACAGTGAAATTGATGATAATAACTATGTATAATCAATGAAAAAAAAACAAATAATTCCATTCAATATTTCAGCAGAGGCGATTTGATGTTCTGCAGACAAAAACGCACAGTTCCTTGCCACGCCCCTTCCGACCTCTTGTACTTTCGATCACGTGCATTTGTTTACTTCCGCCAAAACAGAAACTACAAACAATAAGGGGGAAGGGCATAAACGAAGATATTTTTTACACGTGACAGGAATAAAAATGGTAAAATTAAACTCATTATGATAGAATTACGGAACGTGTGCAACATTGTTGCCGATGCTGCGAATTATGTGTCAAGGCGGCGGCGTGAGAGACGCCTTCCCGCAACCGCAAAAGATAGTGGTAAGTTTTGCAGTTGAGTTTTGGGATGGATATCACAGGTAGATGTTATATTGATGGTGCTTTAAAAAAATAGCTTTATTAAACATAGATTATACTATCACACCTGACAAAAAATAAGACAAAAATCCCAAGCTGGAATTTATATTGCTTCAGAGATATCCTAATAAAGTTTTGTTTCCTTTCACTTGATTTTTTTTTTTACACTTTTGAATTTAATTGTAGAGCACCCAAGAATTTTGAATCAAGAGAAAAATGGAATAATCTTGTTTACCTGGGATGATGTCACACAAACAAGCAAGGTTGATTGAAATGTGTCAAAAAAATATATCTTATTAGCAAGATAATTATTTTTTAATAACAGTGTCAATAAAAATTGTATTGTGAAAGAAACGAAACTTTAAAAGAAGGGTTTGGGGTAATGAATTACATGAAACATGATACACTGGATACTGAGCAATATTTGATTTCAAATGAAATTTTAATCTTTCAGGGAGCCATATGTACCCATGTAGGATTTTATGACCCAACTAAGAAATCCCATGAGGTAAAAATATTTATATTAAATTGAAAAATTGAAAGTGCAAGAAAATTTGATTTATTTTAAAGTAAGCATTGTGATTTCTATGGATTTATCGTCATCTTTATGCATGTAGAACTGCAAATGAATTAATCCGAGTGTAATAAATTAATACTTTTAATTATAATAGTTAAAGTTTATATCCAAGAAATTAATGGTTTTTTTTTTTGTAGAAAGCTAAGGCTTGAATATAAAATTTGTGAAAATCTTAAAATTATAGGTGATTTGGATTTACAACCAGAGGGCCCGAATAGTGTCCTGTTCCATAAACCAAGGGAGGTCACTCTTAGGTAGACATTAAATTCTAAATTTTGACATGTGCTTCACAAAGATCAAGATGTAATAAATATAATTTTAAAAATATTTTAAAAAAATAATTTTGGGAAAAGAGATAGACGTGTTAACATGGTTAAGGGGAAAACAGAAGATTAGATTTGTTTTGAGCATTAGAACTAAGCACCAAAATTTTTTACTAAAAAAACTTTAATTTATTAAACACATCAGTATAGAAGATATATAAATGTAATTTCAGCATTCACAGTAATTGGCAGGGATGACTCTTTCACAGCCAAAATACCAGGCAAAGGTGTGTACTATTTAAAAACTTTACAAGAAGTTAGTTTCATGCTTTGCTGATGGAATATACATGTATGCCCTTGTATCCAAGGGAATCAAAATAACACATTTTATTTAAAATATACGAATTCATGTTTTGAATTTTTTGTCACTTTCAGTATTGGATTGATTTTTAATTTATCTTTGAATTCTGTTAAATAACATTTTCTCTGTTATGAATGAATATGCAAGAGAAGTATATGTACATTAAAATTTCCTTGTTTTTAACACAAAGACAGTTCTTTTGAATGAAGTAGAATCTTTAATAAAGGCAGTTAATTTGTTTTAGATGTATACAGTGTGTTTCTAGCAGAAACTCAGGCTACAAGCACAAGAGTTTTCTCCCTTAATCTAGAGCGACAACACTTCATAAAAGTTCAGTTTTTGTATGACAGCCAGACTTCTGACAGGGAGTCCCATCTGATGGTTATGCTGCATAGAGAGTGTAAGATTTGTAGCTTAGAGTGACTATGAATATAATGCTAAATAGCTAGCTATGTATGTCAGAGTGTGTAAAAAATGTTGCACAGAGAGTGTACTAAGTCATACTGCATAGAAAGAGTAAGTTAATATACTGCATAGAAAGTGTAAGTTATACTGCATAGAAAGTGTAAGTTATACTGTATAGGAAGTGTAAGTTATACTGCATAGAAAGTGTAAGTTATACTGCATAGAAAGTGTAAGTTATACTGCATAGAAAGTGTAAGTTATACTTCATAGAGAGTGTAAGTTATACTGCATAGAAAGTGTAAGTTATACTGCATAGAAAGTGTAAGTTATACTGTATAGGAAGTGTAAGTTATACTTCATAGAAAGTGTAAGTTATACTTCATAGAAAGTGTAATTTATTCTGCATAGAAAGTGTAAGTTATACTGCATAGAAAGTGTAAGTTATACTTCATAGAAAGTGTAATTTATTCTGCATAGAAAGTGTAAGTTATGCTACATAGAAAGTGTAAGTTAATATTCTGCATAGAAAGTGTAAGTTATACTGCATAGAGAGTGTAAGTTATACTTCATAGAAAGTGTAATTTATTCTGCATAGAAAGTGTAAGTTATACTGCATAGAAAGAGTAAGTTAATATTCTGCATAGAGAGTGTAAGTTCGCAGCTCTGTTAAGGCTGCATAAAGGGGGCGGGGCTTAATTTTTACGGGAAATGTTTACTGTGACATCACAAATATAGCAATTTCTCACAATAACGAAAAATGAAATAATTTGCGAATCTGAACTGCATAAGAGTAATGAACTACATCAAAACTTACCACTGCATTCATTTTTGTAGCTAGTTAAATCCCACACAGCAAGATATAAACAAGTCACTGATCGCAATGCACTTGTCGACATGACGTCATCATGGTAAAGTTTGACGCATTTTATGTGCAGTGAGAGGCGGATCAAGTAATTTTTTCACAGTGAAAAATGCATTTTATTATTAAAGAGAATATTATTTGAAAATCTTAGTAAGACCATTAATACAAATCTGAAACGTTTGTTTAGTGCCATTATTTAAAAAATATCGAGAGAATGTATTGAATTAAATAAATTCTACCGTGTTTTTGTCTACAGGGTGTGCATGTTTCACGCCGAGGTGCCTCAATAAATCGCCTTTTCGCAAGGGCATACACTTAATAGATCTTGACCATTTTTTAAATACACATAATGGACATATTCCTTAACTTGAAAAGTGCTGCTGCTTTCCTGAAATCGATAGCATAACTTAATAAATACATAAAATACTTGGTAAAGGTCACACATATTTCGACATTAGCAAGATAACTTGAAATTTAAACTTATAAAATGCAAATTCTATTTAAAGCAGCAGCACTTTCCATAAACTACAAGTTATGTAGAAACAATCTATTACTTTATTTTTTAATTTTAACTAGGGTATGCTCTTGCGATATTGAAATTTGCTTGTGACCTACATACAGTACACATTACATGCATTTATCACGTGACTATCAAATAACGCGAACAAACCAAATTCAGTACAGAGTGGGGTATACAATATTATTTCAAAGAATGTTAAAGTCATAAGATAATATAGTACCTTTATAAAATTAAAATTCATTTTAAAAAGGTATGTATTTATGCACTTTTATATTCTGTTGATTTCTTCAAAGTACGCCTTAACGGTGCTGCGTTATACTGCATAGAGAGTGTAAGTTATACTGCATAGAAAGTGTAAGTTAATTATGATGCAAAGAGAATGTAAGTTCTGCTGTATGGAGAATGTAAGGCTACATATGCATAATGTCGAGTTTTGTTCCATTTCATAAAGTCATATTTACACTGTATACTACTATGTATTTGGATAGAGAGTGTAAATGATGTTGTTTCTGAGTGTTAATAAAGCTGCATGTATTACATGCATTAAAAGTAAATACATGTAATGCAATGTCAGTATGAGTTATTCTTAAAAGTGAATATGAGAAATTCCCCTTAAGGAGTATATTTAGAACATAAATATGAAGATGGATCCACCCTAATAAAGAACAAATCATACTCATACAATCTTGAGATATATTTAAAGTGCAAATCATTTATGATTGAATTTATCTTTTCTATTTTTAGCTGTGGGACTATATCATATCAGGCTGGGCAGAGTTGGAGAGAAGGGTGTGGTATGTAGAGCTTCCCTACACTCAGAGATAAATTGTTTCTCTCAGCTTTACAACTGTACTAATTAAGACCTGCTATGTTTTATAATAATCTCTCACAAATGCCTTAATTTTTTATTTTTAAATTTTTTCTTATAAAAAGATACAATTTCCTCACCTGAAATAATTTTGTGACCTTATTTTAAAATTTGATTTCCTCCTCAATTTTCAAAATAGATTAATTCTTTTAAATATAATATTACATCCATACACATTTACATGTATATGTACATGTACTAAGGTGATGAGGGACCAACCAAAGACAGAGCAGTTAATTAAGCGGTTTTTCTGGTGTCAGTGGGACATGCTTCACCAGAGGTTGTATTACCTCCAGTATGTGAAGCGGGGGGAGGGGGACAAGGCCCACATTGCCCCCAGCATCTCCTGTATACAGTTTTACCAGAACAGCCAGCATGATAACATTGTAAGTTGATGATTTCTGTGCTTGTACGATTTCTAGAGTGTTCAAGGTTGAATAAAACTCTGCTCAATAAATGAAATTTTCTAGATCAGCTTCTGCTACATTTGAGGCAATATGTGTTGAAGATATTTAAAAAAGAATCAGTGATATAACAATATTGGCAAGTAAATCTATACTGAGTAATCTTTTTTTGTGTAAAATATGTGATCAGATTGTTTATGTGCATTTATTGTATGTTTTTCTTATTTCAGCTGGATATACCAATAGAATTTCCTTTCCCACACATAAAGACAAGTTCAAAGTAATTTCTTTCACATTCTCTTTTTGCATTCATATTATATTGTCACCATGTCTTTACAAACACTGATCTTCTCATATTTTCCTCTTGTATTGTGTATTGTAGTGTATATGTAATACAATGTATGAAAATTGTTCTATAGTACATGTAAGTTCTGAGTTTATGATTAAATGTTATTATTTCTAAACAGATTTCATTATTCAAGTGATCATTTGGATTGTGGAATTCCTGGTGAGTAATTTTTGATTCTTGCCAAAAAAAGTCATTGAATAAATAAAAATAAAAAAAAACACCTCATGATATCATTTGACCTTGATACACATACACATTTCCCTTCTACCATCTATATTCTTGGCAGTGTGCTTTATTTTTACCCAAATTGTGTCCACTCTTCTATGGGATATATGTATAGACCTAACTGGAATGAAAGTCATGATTCCTTTTTGTGATATTTCAGATTCATATCTCAATATGGTTGTGCTTACATTGGCCAATGGGACATTTTGTATCTGTTACCAAAAGATGGTGTCACCTTACACTGTAGATAGACGGTCACCAGTCAAACGGGCCAAGATATCGCCTGGTCCAGTAAGTTTGTAAAGATCATGTGATGCTTATTACAGAAAAAAGACAAACTGATAGTGCCATACATTTGTTTACAAATTGGTGATAAACATTTTGTGTTGCTTTTCTAGAATAAAAGCAATTAGCTGGATTCTATATAATTGTTTTACTCAGTTTTGATCTGTAAAATTTAATATATACTGTAAACATACGACGTTTTCCATGGGGTCATAATTCTGGGGAATCACAATTTCTGTTCGATCCATGGGTAGCAGATTATTGAATTTCTTAGATTGCCACTATATGCTTTAAATGTACTTATTATAAGTATGCTTGGACTTGCTAAGGAAAATTTGTGACAACATACATGTACATAGCATAAAGTAGTACCATGCAGAAAAAAGTACTTTTATGGTACTTTTAATGCATGTGCAACTGGAAAGAAATCTTTTGATATTTTAAGGTACATGTTTATGCAACAAAATTTTTTATGCAAATTTTAACAGAACCCTTCTCCCCTGAGTGCCCACAGTTTATCTGATACAGATGAAGAAACTGTTGATCTTAACTACTACATTTGTATGGTGCATCATGGTATGTTAAAATCAACTAATCAGTGTAAATTATATTGTACACTTTCAAAAGATCATTGACAGTATTAAATTACAGGAGAATTGATATATATTTTTACTCTACTCCAGTGACAAAAACTAGTCACAATTATTCATTAGAGTTTATTATATTAGTTTGCAAGATTCAAATAACTGTATAAAGCAATATACATGTACTACTATCAGATGTTCATTTCGCAAATTAATTTGCACAAACTTAGATTTTACAGATTCATAAATCATGTCCTGTAACTATCAGAGGAAGTTCACATCATCATGTTTATTATTCAATTTAATTAAACATCATTAATGTTTACAGCCAAAACTCTCCATGGTTGTGTAACTGGGCTTCCATATTCCCGCAAATACAGACTCCATTTTTCCTGGCATGGTAAGTAAGAAGTTGGAATATGTAGAGGTACACATCTTTAAAAGATATCATTGAAGTTGAGATGTGCTGTACTCATATAAAGATATCCCTGAGTTTGAAATGTTGAAATTGAGATTTGTACTCATATTTGAAATATCTGAGATTCTGAGATATTGAAGTTGACATTTTTTGTACTCATATCAAGATATCTGAGAGTTTGGGATATTTAAAATGAGATAAAATATATTTACTCTTATCAAAATATCTTAAAGTTTGAAATATTGAATTGATATTTGTAGTACTCATATTAAGATATCTGAGATTTTAAGATAGTGAAATTGACATTAGTAGGACTCATATTAAGATATCTGAGATTTGAGATAGTGAAATTGACATTAGTAGGACTCATATTGAGATATCTGAGATTTGAGATAGTGAAATTGACATTAGTAGGACTCATATTGAGATATCTGAGATTTGAGATAGTGAAATTGACATTAGTAGGACTCATATTAAGATATCTGAGATTTGAGATAGTGAAATTGACATTAGTAGGACTCATATTGAGATATCTGAGATTTGAGATAGTGAAATTGACATTAGTAGGACTCATATTGAGATATCTGAGATTTGAGATAGTGAAATTGACATTAGTAGGACTCATATTGAGATATCTGAGCTTTTGAGATAATAACGTTGACATTTGTTATACTTAATATATTAAGATGATTGACAGTTTAAACAGTGAAGTTGACATTTGAAGTACTTACACTTTTATTAATAGCAGATGTAACGTTTTGGGTTTTATAAGTAAATATAAATAAATTCGCTACCACCAACTGTAACGTGTAATTTTACATCAACTCGGTACCTATGAGGCACGTTACAATAGTTGGGTTCGAAGGTGCCTAGTTTTAATAAAGAAAAGAAATATATATAAACAGTTAATACATGTATTTATTATAGCATCAATACATATATTTATTATAGCATCAAAAACAATAAACTTCAACAAATATTTAAAATGTCTCTTCAATATTAAGTATACTGCCGAACTTCCGCGGAGCTTGGTGCTCGGTGCTACGTAAACAAGGTGCTCGGGGCTGTTCGGTGCTACTTGGTTTCTGGTGCAACAAGCCTGCAAGGTTTCCGTTGCTACTAGGTGTTCTGTACTACTTCTCAGTTTCCGGAGCTTCAAGATGTTCAGTGCTATCTGCTGCTACTACTAGGTATAACTATACAGGCACAATCAGGAATTCTGATACTGTAATCAGAACTATATCTGAAATCCAAATTTCTACTTCTTAACAACAAAAAGTCCACCCCCCCATCCTATGCTAGCATGTCATGCATAGATAGGAAAATTCTTGTGCTAATGCCAACCATCATTTATAACCTATGCAACTTAGAATTGTCTAATATATACTACTCGGTGCTCGGGACTACTTGGTGCTCGGTGCGACCAGGTGCACGGTGCTACCCGGTGCTCGGTGCCGCCGGTGCCAAACTGCACCAGCACCGTAAATTAACTTTAGCTAAGTCTCAATAAAAACGGAATTAATTATTCTAAACTTGCACAGTCGATAATACTAAAATTTATTTTAATAATTTAAGAAACAAACTTTGGTTCAGAATCTCACACCGAGTAGTCAATATCTGAATACTTTAAACTAATAAAAATTCTCAAATATTTTCTAAAGAATTTACATTTTAATATACTATTTCTAAATAGGCTAAGAAGGTTTGAAACTTTTTCTAACTTATCTAAAATATGAATTTACCTTAAACTTTACTGGCACCAACCAACACCGACTTTCGCTTATTTTTCTGGAGGAGATCTGATGACGACGCTTCGAGTTCGCTGCTTTTATACTGTGACGCAGTGATGCTGCGACTACGTCATATGTAAAATGTAAAACTCCAAAAACAATACTTCTATCAATAAACTAGGATAAACCAACCCACTAATAATACTCCAAAAGATCTATTTTATATATCTATAATTTTATAATTATTTTAAGCTTATTATTTCTAGAGTTATATATCCAGAAACTACTCGTCTGCCAACATTCCGGATATATTCATCTCTACCATACAGTTTCCGCAATTACTGAATCTCATGCATTTCCAGTTATCATATAACGAAATCCCGGTAATAAATAAATCTTTTGATGCTAAGTTCTACAAGACATAATAATATTAAGAGACATTCTTCAAGAATAGACAAAAGTGGAAATATATACTACAGGTAAATGTAATCCGCGTAATCAAAATGAAACACTGACATTTGTTGTTCCAAGTGTAAACATGCATCTTTAGTTCTAAAACATAACTATGAAACATACATTCTAAACAACACTAAAGGTTTGCTATGCAGGCGCAACACAGATCTAGCCAAACTTGCAGATTCTTTTCTGATCTGCCATCAATACTTATGACTCTTCCATTGCACAGTTACATAAAAAAAGATCAAATCTCTTCATTCAAAGATGCAAATCAAACAGTGGTTTGAAAATAAGTAAAAATAAAAAAAAGACAGACAAACTAGTTTATGTTTCTTCTCAGTGAAATTCAGTATTTAAGTAGAAAACATATAAACATTCATTTGTGAAATCCATTCGATGTTTCTTTGACACTTTACAGGAGACTACCTAATGGTGCTGTTACCCGGCCATTTTGTACATCTTCTTAATGTCGGAATTGAATTTGAACCTTGCCAACATATCCTTCTACACGGTAAAACTGTCGTAACCATTGAGGTTTTGTGTGACATTTCACTACAAGTTGATTTATCATTGTAAGGCAAGTGTCTCAAGTCAATTAATGTTTTGGAGACATATATTTCAGAACGCAGCATCAAAGGGAACATCACTTCTATACATAGAAATGTTGACAGTGGTGTTACCATGGTTACAGGGAATGGCGAGTCACATGATGATTCTGTGGCAGCCATTTTGGATGTGTCTGTGTTGTCATCAGCTGCAGAAAAATTAAACAACCTGTCAAATACCAGTTTGTATGAAATACAGAGAGATTCTCCAATGGGTATGTACAAGGATAAAGTTACAAAAACATGACATTTTTCAGCTCTGTTTACGTGTATAGAAGAACATTTGTTTTTTACCTATTCATTTAATTTTTGGGAATTCAAAGTACAGTTGTAACTTACAAAATTGGGAGTCAAAATTTAATATTCAGTGTACATTGTAAAGAACTTTGCTTACATGTTTCATCTGCATTACATTGCTTAAGATTATGCATATATTGAATCATATTGGAATCTCCCATTTTTGTCCTTAGGGACCTGTTTCTATGACAACAGCAGTGGTGAGGTGTGGAAAGTCCATGTTAACATGGAAACATTAATCCAGGTGTTCGTCCACTGTTACATGTCCACCACCAGGGCGGCTCTGTTACACTATGTACTGACCAGGACACGCGACTTCTTCTTAATCAAAAGGGTCAGTTTTGCACAGGATTACAAATAAATGTAAACTTGATTTCACTCTGCGTTTAAGTAGAACGCTTGTAGCTTTTATAAAATATATTAGCACATAATTTACAACATTTTGTTGTACATCTATAGTAGATAAAATGTTCTATCGTTAAAATGATAAATGTCCTACGGACCTGGTTTAGGAGGGCCTATCCCGAGACACAGTTAGATTATTCTAACTACATCTATAGCAAAATGGTAAATACACATTTCCATTGAAACCAAAGGCATAACTCACTGCAAGTTGTAAGAATGAAACTGTTGCATTACTAAAATGAAGCAGTATATATCACTACTTGGTGAAGAAACCAGCTTAAACAGTATTGTCTTTTTTGTGTACTTGGTTATTGGTGCATTGCTTAGATTTGTGTTTGTATTTGTAGCTCTTTGAAATGCTTAGCAATGACATTCCAAGTAGTGAGGTACCTGCACTTATGGCAGAGTTTCTCATTGGTCAGTATCCATATAAATGAATAATTACTGATCTCTGATTGGTCAACATATCTATAAATGAATAATTACTAATCTCTCATTGGTCAGTATATTACATATTTCTGTAAATGAATATTTCTGATCTCTCATTGGACAGTATACAAATATAATTATTCCTGATCTCTGATTTCTTTTATGAAATAAGCAATAATAAATTAGGTAATGTAAGTATTGTTTTTTAAAAATGTTTTTCTCACAGTCACCACCTACTCCAGTATGAGGCGACAGTTTGACAGAGAAATCTTGAAGCTGGTTCCGTTCACTGCTTCTGACACATTTAGAGGACAGTTTGAGAAGGTATAGTTGAACCAACTTACTCTTACATATGAAATGGAGTTCCTGTAAAACAGCTGACTTTAATATAAAGTCCAGGACTGAGATGCACAAACACTTGTTACTTTAACCAACAGTTATAACTTCTTATCAACTTTCTTTATAAACATTATAGAATTAACTAAAATACAGATTAATTACCTTTAACATGTCTGCATGCAACTGAACCCAGAACTTTAAAATTTCTCAGTCATGCAGTATTAGAAATAATAGAAAAAATGATATGCAATACTGGATTAATGCATGGCTTGAAAATATTTCAGTCTGACAAAATTAAAGTAAAGTTGACTTATAATTTCTGGAATTTCTAGAGCTATGAAGGGGAGAGAATTGCCCGGATATCCTACTCTCCACTGGTCTGTGTAAACATTGCCTCCAAGTCAGCCAAGGATAGAACACGTAAGCAAGGCAGTGTGGGGGATGATCTCTGGGATATCCTGAGGCATCACCTGCGCTGGATGCAGGTGGAGGAACTTGTTCGATTCTCCCACGAATCTGTGAAATCTCTGATGGAGGCAAGAGCCCAAAGCAGAAATAAGGTAATGTTACATTGCATTGTTAAATATAGCTATTAATTAAAGAATGCTAAAAATAAGCCTGTGGTTAGAAATTTTCAGGCACTTAACAGTCTAAGTAGCAGAGATGAAAAATGGTATCAGATTTAAGGGGGCATAACTCTGAGACATTTCTGTTTTCAGTAGTTTTCTGAAGGGAAAAAAAAAAGATACATTTTTCAGAGGGCTTAATTTTAAATGACAGTTAGAAGTGACTTTGTAATGATTAACTGCAAAATGATATACATGTTCTTATTAATGATGCTTAATTTACAACAGGAAGGAGCAGGCCAGGGTACCAAATCAGAGGACCAGTTTTTCTTTTCCTCCTTTCATGGACACAAGTCAAGGTCAAATAGGTTTGTATAGAGATAAATTAATGAGATGTTCTCTCAAATTCAGAGCCATCTCAAAAATTTATTAGAATGTTAGTACATGAATATCAAATATGGATTTACTTCAGTCTGTAATACCTTAATTAAGGAGGCTGTGAGGTAAACAGTTAAAGCAGTTATAGATTATCGATTAAAATCCTTATCACAAATACAAGTAGTTAGAAATTATCAACCTCTTCTTTGTCAGGAGTTAGAAAGAGTATATAAAATAGCCATGACAGTTTAGTCTCGTTAACAGATGATTGCCTTATATGAACTGTCAACAAATTGTACTGTTTTCAGATCAGAGTCCCCAGCCCCTGGCACCACAACATTCAACAACAACATGAAACGAGTGAGACCAGACACAGTGTTAGGGACAGCCCCACCATTTCTACAGGGAAACAATATTTCCAACTGCTCAGAAATGGCTATGGACATGGTAAATATGAGAAAATTAAAAACTTTGTAATTTTATAGACATTTTCATTAAATTTAATTTAAAATGGTAAAAGACAGTTAAATATTTCTTCAGAAATGTAGCACTCATGTTAATTTTTTTGGAATAATTATATAAACAATTGACTGATAACAAATTAATTGAATATTTCTTCTTTGCAATACAGATCTTTTTTTTTTTTTAATTTTTCTTCTTCGCAATACAGATCTTAACATTAATGAGTAATTGACCTTACTTATATTTATTCCAGACTAAAGAATTGTTCACTACTCATCTAAACAAGTATTTAAGGAAAGAAGCAAGATCAAAAGGTCATTCAGTTGCCAAGGAATACATAGCATGTCAGGTAATGTACAAGGAATACTGTAAATCACTTTTAATTTGCAAAATCATTATTTCAATATTTAGACGAGACTGTCTGCTCACAAAAATTTTGTTCTCGTGTATAATTATACATGTATAAGCTAGTATAGCTTATATACAGCAATAACCAGGAATTGTGAAAATTTTGTACTGCTCATAAGTAGCAAGTACCTATCTCATGAAAATAAGATCTCACGAAAATTTGGTGATCTGCAGTACATAGTTTGTTAGGTACATCATTGGTCACTGTCATATAAGACATATTGTTATTAATGTCATTCTTTCTATATACATGTAGTTTTTTTTATACCCCCGCTCCGAAGGAGAGGGGGGTATACTGTTTTACCCTTGTGTGTCTGTCTGTCTGTCTGTCCGTCTGTCTGTCTGTCCGTAACAAATTTTGGTCGCAGTTTTCTCAGCAACTACTCATTGCAGATGCTTGAAATTTTAGTACTATGTTTGTTTAGGCATGCCATTTGGTGGGAGTCATTTTTGTACGAATTCGATGTCAACTTCCTGTTTTTCTGTGCGTCTGTCCGTATCATACATAACAAATTTTGGTCGTAGTTTTCTCAGCAACTACTCATCGCAGATGCTTGAAATTTTGGTGGGATTCATTTTTGTACTAATCCGTTGTCAACTTCCTGTTTATTCGTGCATCTGTCCATACCATACATAACAAATTTTGGTCGTAGTTTTCTCAGCAACTACTCATTGTAGATGCTTGCAATTTTAGCACAATCTTGTTTAGGCATGCCATATAATGGGATTCATTTTGGTACAAATCTGATGTCAACTTCCTGTTTATCCCTGCATCTGTCTGTACCATACATAACAAATTTTGGTCGCAGTTTTCTCAGCAACTACTTATCGCAGGTGCTTGAAATCTTAACACAATGTTTGTTTAGGCATGCCATATGTTGGGATTCATTTTTTACTAATCCAGTGTCAATTTCCTGATTATCACTGTGTTTGTCCGTAACTGAACTTGTGTATTCACATCAGAGCGGGGGTATTATTAGTGAGCATTGGCTCACAGACTTCTTGTTTTCTGTTCTTTTCTGCAGATTCAGCAGTCCAGACAACTCTGTCATCTTCTGTGGAATCTTCGTGGTCCCCTCCTCCCCTACACAGACTTGGACTTCCTGCCTAACCTGTGAGTGTTCTTGTTAGGTCACCTGAGTCACTCAGGTGACCTATTGCTATCCGTTTTCGTCCGTCGTTGTCCGTCATGCGTCGGTCGTAAACTTTTGAACATTTTTAGCTTCTTCTCTTGAACCACTGAACCAATTTCAACCAATTTTGGCATATAGCATCAATGGGTGAAGGGGTACAAAAATTGTGAATTTCATGGTCCCTGCCCCCCTGGGACTTGAGGGGTGGGGCTAAAACCACCAAAATTGATGCAATCTTTAAAAAATCTTCTTCTTTACTCCTGGAAATCAAGCAGTCAAAGTGTTGACATGATTATAATAAGCATTGGGCCTTCTACCAAAATTGTGAAATTCATGGCCCCAGGGTCAGGGGTTCTGGTGCTAGGGTGGGGCTATATAGATCATATAGTGAAAGTGCATTAATTCTTTGAAAATCTTCTTCTCTGCTCCTGGGTATTAAATAAGCTAACTAAGTACATAGTTATGATGAGCAAGAGTGCATCTTTCAAAATTTTGAATTTCAAAGCCCCGGGGTCAGGGGTTCTTGTGTTAGGGCTGGGCTCTATTGATTATATAGTGAAAATGCATTAAATCTTTGAAAATCTTCTTCTCTGCTCCTGGGTATTAAATAAACTAACTAAGTGAATGGTTATAATAGGCTTGGCTGCCTCTTCCAAAATTGTGAATTTCATAGCCCCTGGGTCAGGGGTTCTGCTGTTAGGGCTGGGCTCTATTGATTATATAGTGAAAATGCATTAAATCTTTGAAAATCTTCTTCTCTGCTCCTGGGTATTAAATAAACTAACTAAGTACATAGTTATGATGAGCAAGAGTGCCTCTTCCAAAATTGTGAATTTCATGGCCCCTGGGTCAGGGGTTCTTGTGTTAGGGCTGGGCTCTATTGATTATATAGTGAAAATGCATTAAATCTTTGAAAATCTTCGTCTCTGATCCTGGGAATTAAATAAACTAACTAAGTACATAGTTATGATGAGCAAGAGTGCCTCTTCCAAAATTGTGAATTTCATGGCCCCTGGGTCAGGGGTTCTGGTGTTAGGGCAGGGCTCTATTGAGTATATAGTGAAAATGTATTAATTCTTTGAAAATCTTCTTCTCTGCTCCTGGGTATTAAATAAAGTAACTTAGTACATATTTATGATGAGCAAGAGTGCCTCTTCCAAAATTGTGAATTTCATGGCCCCTGGGTCAGGGGTTCTTGTGTTAGGGCTGGGCTCTATTGATTATATAGTGAAAATGCATTAAATCTTTGAAAATCTTCGTCTCTGATCCTGGGAATTAAATAAACTAACTAAGTACATAGTTATGATGAGCAAGAGTGCCTCTTCCAAAATTGTGAATTTCATGGCCCCTGGGTCAGGGGTTCTGGTGTTAGGGCTGGGCTCTATTGATTATACAGTGAAAATGCATTAATTCTTTGAAAATCTTCTTCTTTGCTCCTGGGTATTAAATAAACTAAGTACATAGTTATGATGAGCAAGAGTGCCTCTTCCAAAATTGTGAAATTCATGTCCCCAGTGTCAGAGGTTCTGGTGAAGTGGGGGGGGGGGGGGGCTCTATTGATTATATAGTGAAAATTCATAATTTCTTTCAAAATATTTTTTCTACTCCTGGTTTTAAAGCAAAGAAACAAGTGTATAGTTATGATGAGCAACAATGCTTTTACAAAATTTTTAAAACTTGTGGTCCCAGGGGTTCTATTGTCTGTTGGAGGGGGGGGGGGGGACTCCATTGATAATATAGTGAAAATGGGTGAATTCTTTGAAAATCTTCAACTATATGTACTAATTGTATAGTTATGATGATGAGGGTACCTCTTCCAAATTTGTAAATTTCATGACCCTGGGTCATGGGTTCTTGTGTTAAGGTAGGGCTGTGTTAAATAGTGAAAATGCATTATTTCTTTGAAGATCATCTCTGCTCCTGGGCATATTAGAGGCAATTTCAGAGTAAAAAGTTTTCAAAAGCAAGGGTATTTTTACCAGAATTTTGAACATCTGGACCATTTAGTCAAGTGTTCTGGTCCTGGCCAGGGCTCTATTAATTTGTATTCTACTGAGTGAAGTTATTCCCCTTTGCCATTCACCTTTGATAATTAATCACTATAGGTAATGTATCTGAAAGGTTACAACATGTAATAGAATAAGAGAATTATGCAAGAACATTTATTGTATAGTACAAAAAGTACTTTCTTAGTCTAAATGGTCAGGTAGACTTGGAAATAATACATGAATAAAAATGAAACAAAAATAACTTATCTTTTTAAATGTTCTTCAAAGGCCAAGTGAGGTCAATGTGAGAGGTAATAGACATTTTATAAAGAGTGTGCATGGTAATAGTGATAAATGAGGGACAGATAGATAGATATTAGAACAATTATTCTGATGATCTTAATCGTACTATTTTTCTTGCTTTTTGCAACAAAGCTTCATTTGTCAGTTTGTGGATCCTCAAAATTGTTGTACTCAGGTGACCGTTAAGGCCCTTGGGCCTCTTGTTTTCTTCTCTTAGACTAATGAACAGATCCATCACCTGACGATAAGATGATGAATATGAATTATTGTAGTTAGATCTGAGAGGGATGATGTTGAAATACTGCAAAAGTGGAAACTTTGACGATGTGGAAACGGTGGTGAAATTTACAAATTTCTAATAGTTGTCAAGTTTTCCACTCATAAACTTTCACATTCCTGATAAAGAGCACTGTTTAATACTAGTATATTGTCAAAGTTTCCACTTGCCATTTTTATAATCTACCAAAATTGTCAAACTTTCAACCCATCAATCTAATCACTTTTACAGTATTGCATTTCAGTAACTGCTGTTAAGTTCAGTCTGTAGTTGTAGATATATGCAGCCTCTGATCATGATTGAAATTTGCTTTTTATAGGACTGACCCATCATCTGATGACGAGTATGAATTGTTCCAGCTGTTTGAGAGGTATTATCAGACATGCCAGGATTTATCATTCCCACTTCCTCAAGGTATGTACTACATGTAGCTATAGGCAAATCTGGTCAAGTTCAGGTGTGTTTAGGTGTGGATGAGAAATGGGAGGTTGGGGGTCTAGATCTATATGATACATTTACCGGACTGGGTATAATGAAATGAAATACTGCATGTTCTTCCGTGATTTTGATTTTTTGGTGTTTTTTGGTTCTGTCTGTTTTAGGTTTTATATCGTACTTCACAGCTCTGGGTTATCGGAATTTAAATACCAGGTAATATTTATCACTAAATTACCTAATGCAGGTAGTACCTTTAGAGCAATCATACTCTTTGATTCAAACATTGGTCTGTTTATCAATGATAATTAATTTCCTAGTTTTTCTTCCCCAGCCTGTTCTTGCAGTATGTTGATCATGGAGTCCTCCAACTTACAGGAGAATTCATGGCTCAGGTTTTAGCAGGTAACACAAAAATTAAATTACTATATAAATATAAAAGTCTTTTTTATGAAAAAAAAATTCATGATGAAAATTATGTAAGTTAATTGCATTTCCAAAAAATCCAAATCCTTTTTTTTGCAACATGTTTGTGGTACATTGTAAGTTCTAATATGTGTTCATTGGGTGCAGTTCTTTTGAATTTTCAAAGAACTACAAACATTTAGTCCCAATTCATGCCTACATTTTTCGTCCATTTATTTCAATAATAATGACATGAAGCCCATTAAAACTTAATTGATTACAAAGAAGAGAGTACATGTATTTATAATTGATTAATCATTTTAAAAACAGTGTCAAAAAGTAAATTGCTCTTTTTTACATCTGTTTTCAGAAGTGGGTAAAACATTTTATCCAATGAAATCAGGCTTAAAAAGCATCAGTGTATTTTCAAAAAAGTAGCTATGGAACATGATTTTTAAAAGCACTTCTTAATTTAAAAAGCAACATTTTATTTTTAAGAGGCTTCAAAACCATTTCCAAAACAGTTTTATTTTTTGAAATTGGTTGAAAAATGAAAAAGTTATGATAATTTTTGTGTTTTCATTTTTTAAATCTTGAAACAAAAAGTGTTGCCATTTTTTAAAAAATCAAATAGACAAAGTCTACTGAGTTATAAGTCTTTATTTAATGCAAAGTACTTTATGACAATTATATAAACAAAAAATATGCATTAAGATTTTTTTCCCATTGTATATCATCGTTTGAAAAATAAATTTGATAGGGTCAGCAGAATTTTAAAGTCTGAACTGTGGTAAACAATGTCTTTTCATTCTTAATAAATAAAATGGGGGAAAAAACACTATGAGAAATATCAATACATGTATTTAAAAACATGATATTTCTCCAGCTAGAGTTCTTTGATCAGAATTGCTAAAAAATAAAAATTTTAAATTTATACCCCCTCCCCTTCGGCAAAAAGAACGAACTACAATATATACAATAAAAATGTATGAAAAAATTCTTACTAGGGTGAAAAAAGATTATTTTCAAGGATGATGATAACTTTGATGATGAAAAAGAATAGGCTTAAAGTTATTAAACTTAATATTATGATCAGAAATTGTGTAATCAAATCAGAAAGCCTCAGCAAGTAAAATATAAGTTAATGAATACATATGTAACAAGTGTAACATCCACATTTTTCACATGCACATCAAACTCGCACACATTTTATTTTAGTATTAGAAAGTAACAAAAAAGCTTAACTGGCTATACATCATAATTTTCAAAGAATATTGCATGAGGCAGAAATGAGGATATGTTAATTTACTGTCACCCATAAATTTATATTTTGTAATATTCATTATGTTCATGGTCACCCATAAATTTATATTTTGGATTATTCATCATGTTCATGTTCAAAAATTAAGTCTTGATACAATAATTATTCTTTCTCAATTCACTTGTACATTACACGTACCATAGTTTCTCTCAGTAAAATGTTATTATGATGTACAAAGTTATTCTTGTTTGTCTTGTCATTTTCTAAATTTAATTTGAGGACAGGTATTGTTGAAAGTTTTTTTCAAAACAAATTGATCTAGTAATCAGCTGATTGGCGAGTTGGCTTGGGGTGGGATTGGGGGTGGGGGTGCAATGATGTAAATTATCATTTCTTTGTGTTAATTTATGTATTTAGAATAAACTTTCTCTAATTTTTGAAACAATCATTTTTACTTTGGAAAACCAGACACAGACATGTCACGCTGAATATGACACTCATATTGGTTTCGTTGTCGTGCATCATTGCACTTTCACCTTACAAATTCAAAACAAACTACGAAATCAAAACAAACTAAATTATTTAAACAAGATATTTACATGATTTTATGACCTCTGGCCCTTTGCAATTTACTAAAATCCTACACCATGTACACACCCGTCACACGTTTAATACAAAGCAAAGGGCAAAAAACCCTGTCAGGCAAAAATAGTCCATGTGATTGAACGTGATTTGGTGTTAAGTACAAGAATTTAGAATTATTTTTAGATTAAATTCTCATAGAAAACACGTTTTTATTTTATAAAAATCAGGTTTTTAAGGCGTATATTCTGAAATTCAATTTTTTCTCTTGAAACGAATATTTCATTATTATTTTTTTACTGCTAAAATGATGTGATTTATTTATTTTTAGCTCTACTGGTCAGAGACCAGAAGAGCTTATGCGATAGTAAGGTGTCCGTCGTCCGTCCGTCTGTCTGTCTGTCTGTCTGTCTGTCTGTCTGTCTGTCCGTCTGTCTGTAAACAATTTTTCAAAACGCTACTCCTCCTACAGTTTTGGTCCGATTTCAATATAACTTGGCACACAAGTAGACTACACTAAGATACATAATTTAGTGCATCGGTTTTTGATTTCGATGGACGGTGTTGCCATGGTTACTAAAAATAGAAATTTCTGTGAAATTCCTTTAAAACGCTACTCCTCCTACAGTTTTGGTCCGATTTCAATATAACTTGGCACACAAGTAGACTACACTAAGATACATAAATTAGTGCATCGGTTTTTGATTTCGATGGACGGTGTTGCCATGGTTACTAAAAATAGAAATTTCTGTGAAATTCCTTTAAAACGCTTCTCCTCCTACAGTTTTGGTCCGATTTCAATATAACTTGGCACACAAGTAGACTACACTAAGATACATAATTTAGTGCATCAGTTTTTGATTTCGATGGACGGTGTTGCCATGGTTACTAAAAATAGAAAATTCTGTGAAATTCCTTTAAAACGCTACTCCTCCTACAGTTTTGGTCCGATTTCAATATAACTTGTGTGCCAAGTAGACTACACTAAGATACATAAATTAGTGCATTGGTTTTTGATTTCGATGGACGGTGTTGCCATGGTTACTAGAAATAGAAATTTCTGTGAAATTCCTTTAAAACGCTACTCCTCCTACAGTTTTGGTCCAATTTCAATATAACTTGGCACACAAGTAGACTACACTAAGATACATAATTTAGTGCATCGGTTTTTGATTTCGATGGACGGTGTTGCCATGGTTACTAAAAATAGAAATTTCTGTGAAATTCCTTTAAAACGCTACTCCTCCTACAGTTTTGGTCCGATTTCAATATAATTTGGCACACAAGTAGACTACACTAAGATACACAATTTAGTGCATCGGTTTTTGATTTCGATGGACGGTGTTGCCATGGTTACTAAAAATAGAAATTTCTGTGAAATTTCTTTAAAACGCTACTCCTCCTACAGTTTTGGTCCGATTTCAATATAACTTGGCACACAAGTAAACTACACTAAGATACATAATTTAGTGCATCGGTTTTTGATTTCGATGGACGGTGTTGTCATGGTTACTAAAAATAGAAATTTCTGTGAAATTCCTTTAAAACGCTACTCCTCCTACAGTTATGGTCCGATTTCAATATAACTTGGCACACAAGTAGACTACACTAAGATACATAATCTAGTGCATCGGTTTTTGATTTCGATGGACGGTGTTGTCATGGTTACTAAAAATAGAAATTTCTGTGAAATTCCTTTAAAACGCTACTCCTCCTACAGTTTTGGTCCGATTTCAATATAACTTGGCACACAAGTAGACTACACTAAGATACATAATTTAGTGCATCGGTTTTTGATTTCGATGGACGGTGTTGCCATGGTTACTAAAAATAGAAATTTCTGTGAAATTCCTTTAAAACACTACTCCTGCTACAGTTTTAGTCTGCTTCTAATATAATTAGGCATACAAGAAGACTATACTAAGATACATAATTTATTGCATTGGTTTTTGAATTCGATGAACAGTGTTGCCATGGTTACTTAAAATAGAAATTTCTGTGAAATTCCTCTTTAAACATTACTCCTCCTACAATTTTGGTCTGATTTCAATCTAATTTGGCACACAGTTAGAATACACTACGATACATAATATGTATTTCTGTTTTTTTTTATTTGGGTGAGTGGTGTTGTCATGGTTACCGGTACTAAAAATAGAAATTTCCGTGAAATACTTTCAAAACGCTACTACTCCTAGTTTTCATTTGATTTCAATATAACTTGTCACAAAAGTAGACTACATTAAGATACATAATTCTATTTATTGTTGCATGTTGCAATGTTTCAAATCCAAGTGCTACTTTTCTTTTGTTATACAAACAGACCAGTAGAGCTACAGTCTCATCAGAGACTTCTGGTTACCCATATACACTTGCAGTAATACCTCACGAAGGTTTCCAAAAAACTTTTGTGATTGTATATATCGTCGTCTTATCGTATCAGTCCGTAACACACGCCCACCCGATCAATTATTTTTTTTGGCAACAATAGTTTAGCAAATATTAGAGTTACCGCCCGTTGCTTTTCCGTCGCTAAAAAAAGCATTGAAATGGATAAATCATACTTAAATCTTTCCGTATGTTTAACTTGTGTTAAATTTAATGTAAAAGATTGATAAAGTACATTTTTTATTTGTAATTATTCCCATTTGAAAATTGTAATAAAATGACAATTTTTGTTGTTTTTCATCTGTAAACACCCCACTGCGAAACAACAAAAGCTTTGGTATGAATTAGTGGAATAATTCATAATACTCTGTGAAAATATGAATTTTTGTGTCACGATCGAGAAGAAAAGCGTTTTAATTAAAAATATTTTCAATTTTCCTTTGATTTCTATAGTGAAAAACGCAAGCAGTTATTCTAAAATTATAGAGTTACATGTTTCTCTCCTTGTTTTCCAAAATAAGTAATATTTTGAGAAAATTCACATAAGTGTTAAATATCTTTCAAATATACATGTATTAACTTTTGAAAATTGACATAGAGGTAGGCGGCAGGACAATACTATCATACGCAGTTCTCTCAGTGGCTGGCCCCTAATGAGAAAGGATGTAACATTGCTTATAGTTATTTAAGTACCTTTCATAAGACGCTTAGGTTTATGTGATTTTTAGCAAAAAATAATGGATTCAGAAGAGGTTGGATGAAAAATTCATAAATTTATTCATAATTTCTCTTTTCCCCTAGACATACAAGACACCAAGGAAGGCGTGAGAATGAAACAACAAATAATTTCCAGATTACCTCAGGTAGAATTTGTCTGAAAGGTGAAAAGTAAAACTCTAAGACTCTGATTCTGAATCAGAAGTTACACAAGACAAAAGCTGTTTATAGTCTTTGATTGGAAGTATTTTGTTGATGCAAGACTTAAATATATCGATTCCTAGGGAATTCATGAAAATGCCTACTGAGCTGAGAGATAAACCAATGGTAGAATCAAATACTTTAATGAAATATTTTAAGTTTGATTTAAGCACAGTTCGTATTGCTAAATGTAAGTCAATTTGTGGTAGAGAAGGAATATGTCTCTAATAAATAATTCTTTTTAGGAGAAGATGAATCATTATTTTAATTGTTGGGGCCAGTTGTAGAGGGTTGGGGAGCACTTCCTCCTTTAACCCATCCTTGATATTTGTACATTGTTCAGCATCTACAACACTGTCAAATGAATTTGCTTCATTTTTATTCGACTCTACTGTTTTTCTATGTTTAAAATTTATAGAACCTGGCAGAGGAGTGTTATCGAGAGTGGAACAACCCCCTGTGTCAGAGGTACTTTGCCCACAAACAGGTGTCCAACATCCTCCAAGGTAGGGTGAATAAGTCAACTTTAGTGGCAGAGAACTCTGTAGACTCAATAAATGATAAGAAGAATGACATGATAATCAGTCATTTAATTCTTTATGCAGAATTTTTAGTTTTATTTACATATAATTTTTTTACATGGATGGTAGTACGTCATGCAGAAACATTTTAATCCAAGAAAAAGTCACTCCACTATTTTTTTCAGCTTTACATATTGAACCATTTAAGACATGCTGTTGCTACTTCATTGAGTAGGTCAAGTGTACTGGTAATTAATTGTGTCCTACTTTTCTATCCTTCTACAGATTTTAACATCCAACAGGAGCGCAGTAGAAAATTATCTGATTACTCCTACATGGCCAGAGACAGATGTAAGTGATGTATGCAGTATATGTAGAAAAATTACTTTGATTAAAATTGGTATTTTTGAGAGAAATCTTCATTTTACCTGTTGATTTTAAATCAATATTGGCTCACTCGAGCTAAAGGCTCTTGAAAGCTTTTCTGATTCATGAATAATACATGTATATACAATTGTATTTTTGTTTAATGAAAGGAGAACTGTACTGAGCACATCTTGAGTAATCCTTAGATTTTTTCTTTTCAGCCGAGAGTTCAAACTCAAGCCTGGCTGATGTCTCCTTCCCACCCTTAGCTTCTTTCCTACATTATCTTGAAACTTTAGGTGAGTTAATTTGAATTTCTGTAAAGTTATTTGATATGTGAAAAGTTACAGACATGCATTTTTTTTCATGTTTCATAAAAAGTTGATTTTTATTTGTTTTTGCTTTTCTGGCAATGAATACTTGTTGATACAACACAAGGTAATGACATCTGCATGAATACATGAATAACAGCAGTGCTCAATTGTTCATTCCTATATTGATTGATTCAGTAGTTTCTGGTTTGTAGTTGTCCATGTTGCAGCCTTGATAATTATTCATTCAACTGTAGACTGTTGTTTTCTTGTAAATTCATGTAATTATCTACATTCATTTTCTGTTTAGCTAATATCACAATCATAAACTTATATGCATGTGATAATAGATTTAAAAAACAAAACAAAACAATTAAAACTTAAAACACAAGACAGAAAGTATTGTAAATACTAGCTTAATAAAAATCTTTTTCATCTGCTTAAAAATGCATTAAAAATTTCCCATTACAGCCGTTTTGTACAAATGTTTTTCTCTTACATGTATATAACACTATGGTGCAAGGCTTATTTAATTCTGTTTAAAAACAGGTTCAAGGATTTCATCACTTAATTGACCAACCCGTATATTTACATCCTGATAAAAGTTTTTAAATTATACCTTATTTCTTTCTTAATTATACCCTCTGTTTTACTAATGTTTGTGATATATATGCAAGAAGCTGTAATCTATCTGTGCATTTTCTACTTATAGACACTACCAAACCGACCCACACCCAGAATCCATTAGATGTGAACTTTTTGGCAGATGTGGCTCTTTATCATACCAGAAAAGAGAACAAATATGACATGTCTACTGTGAACTTCTAGTCTTTACAGAACTTTTGTTTAAATAACTTGTGATCATGGAGATTTCATTCAAATTAGAATAGTAGTCAAGATATTTTATTTGCCATGATATTTTGGAATGATCATCTTATCAAGTCAACGGTTTGACCTTTATCATGTTGTAAATTTTGATTTCACTAGGGGGAGGTAGATGCAAAATGCAGAATTAGTTATAAATTTTGCAGTTACCTCCCTCAAGTAAATTCAAAATTTGCAATATGATAAGTTTCTGATCCATTCGTTCCACATTGGAATGGATCGAGTTGATCAGAAACCCTTGACTTGGGAAGATTGGTACATGTATGTTATACATGTGATCCTTAAACTAGCTTGACTTGGTTAGATCTGGTATGTTACATCAGTGATCCTTTAATTAGCTTGACTTGGGATGATCTGCTGGTATGTTATATACATGTAAGTGATCCTTTAATTAGCTTGACTTGGTAGGATCTGTTGGTATGTTATATACATGTAATTAAGTGATCCTTTTATATGAAGAAATCTGTGATACCGGTCGTTTATATTACTTTGAGTTTATGATGGGATATTTGTGCAATATTATGATAATTGTTGTTAATTAAATTGTTACATTTGAATATTTGTTTATTTAAGGAATAAATTTAATGTTGAAATTCTTATATTGATAAATTTATGGTATGTTGTTTTACGTCCCAGTCGAGAATTTTTCACGCATATAGAGACATCACCATATACTGGTGAACGGCTTCAAATTTAGCCCTTTACTCCGCACTGAGGGCCATTGTGCAGTGAGGTGTAACGTGTTTAGGGGTCCATACCTGGTTGATTCCAGGATCTCGGGTTTGGATTAATAAAATAACTAAAAAAAATTTTCCTCTTAAAATTGCTTGAAAAATGGTTTTCCTGCAAATATATACAGATATGGCCCTTCCTTTACTTACTTTGGTAGAGCTAATGTGTAAAAAATCTGTTGTTGTAAACGAAAGCCAAGAACTACTAAAAATAATACGGCCTGATAGATGAAATGTTAGTTAACTGTTTAAGGTTGTTGCTAATTAAAGACGACTAACTTTAAAAAAAAAAAAAAAAGCTATACTTGTAAATTATAGGATTTTGATACCGCAATATGAAACAAATAACGTCACATATTCTAAATATAGGATAACACACTCCATTACAAGAACTGTCTATGATATGGATAACCTTTTGCAAGGATCTTAGCTGGTACATCTGTACAAGGAACAGGTATATAGGCAGGAGAAACATCAGGGTTCAGGGACATTCATGTATCTTCAGGTTAAATTTATCTTTTGACTCTCCAGAGAAGGTGAGGTAATACCGAATTTTGTAGAGGCAAACTATGGGTAGGTTGGGGAAATACTCTTTGATCAGGGTTTTATTTTAATGTTAAATAAATCTGGTATCTATCTTTAATAAGTAGAGTATTAACGTGTTTTGTGCAGGAGATTTAGCTGGAACAAAGTACAGGTAGCTGGGAGAACATCCAGGACCAGGGACATATTCACACTTACTCAAAAGTTAAGGACCACCCACTTTGATATGAAACTAAAAGTAAAAAAAGATATTTTTGATTGAATATATTCAGATTTACTAGTCAATCAAACGTTTATTTATCATTTGTTTTTAATGTTACATCAATATCTCCATTCATATAAACTGTAAAACCAGTTTCTTCAAGGCCACCAATGCGTGTTCGAACAATGCAGGTTTTCAATTGTATTCACATCCATGTTCGCATGAGCTTAACTGATAGAAAAAAAGAGTTATAAGTTTTCTGCAACCATGCCTCGTCGGAAACTCTCGGATGCTTAACGCTGGCAGGCCATTGGAATGGAAAGAAATGGAATGACGGGTTGGCGAACATTTTAATGGCAGTCACACTGTAATTTTGCGTCTGGCACAGCGCTGGAGAAGAACTGGGGTTGTGGAAGAAGCTAAAAGATCTGGAAGACCTCGAAAGACTACAGAGAGGGAAGATAGACTTCTAAAACGACTAGATAAACAGAGTCCTTTTGACACTGCATACACACCGAGAAGCAAATGGAACACCCAAGCTCGAATCAGCAGAAGCACAGTTAACAGGAGGCTAAACAAAGAAAAGGATGCGATCATGTCGGCCATACAATAAAACGTCCACTCTTATCCCAGAGACACAGAGAAGCAAGATTACTATGGGCACAACCGCATAGGAGGTGGAACATTCGGTCGTGGCAGAAAATACATTGGTCAGATAAAAGCCGATTCTTGCTTCACCCGGTAGACGGCAGGGTTCGGGTCAGGGATGGGGTAATCGTTATCAGTAATCGTAATCAGCTGTAATCGATTACAGTTTGTGGTGTAATCATGAGTAATCAGTAATCATCCATTTTTCTGATTACAAGTAATCATAATTTAATCAATTACTCTGAATAAAAAAGCCTTGTAATCATGATTACTTTATGATTACAATGATTAAAAAAGTGCATAAAATCATGGTCTTTTATGACATTCAGTGAATATTTTTCAATGTGCAAATTTTTTTATAGTCAAAAGTTATTATAAAAACTATAGGCAAACAATGTAGCTATATCTTCTTCTATTGCCTTCAGAAATGTTCATAATAAGGTCCATTGACCAGGCAGTGAGTGAATCCTCTAATACTAGCTAATAGTATATTCAATGGTCATTTCAAAATACTTAAAGCAGCTTAGCAATTCACCTCGTGTGACTAGATATATATACTGAGGAAAATTACTGCAGAGTTTGACTTTTTTGATCCAGTTAACATCTGTGCAATGGAACATTTTGTTTACCCTGTAAATCTTTAAGTACATCTATACAAGTGATTTTTTTTTTTTATATCAAATGTACCTTTGTAATGTGTATTCTAAAAATCACAGCTTTGTTTGACTTACCAAAAATGTCTATTAATTAACGATAAAACACAGGTGTGCTTAAGTTGGGTCAGCTTGGGTAATAACAATAGAGATCATCTAACAATGCTTGTCCAATCAAAGTGTTAATTCTAGTAAAAACATCTAACAATTTGCAGTTTAGTTGAAAGGTTCATCACTTACATCAGATTGGTCAATTACATATATCGGTTTTCTATTGAATCCCTCTAACAATAATGTCCTTTTGGATTGTTTTTTTCCTCAAAAATAACACAGATATTTACTTGTGTATAAGATAGAAAGCGGATGATCAGATAAACCATCTCAAGCATCTATATAAGGACATGTAACCAAATTTTGTCTGAACTCTACCTTTAAAATGTAAAAGATTATTAAATGCAATTAAAAAGTGTGTAAAATGAGCATTGATTTTAATGTATAATGTCCTGTGGAAAAAAATTCTTTCCCAAACATTAAACATGGAATTTATAAGAAGAAAAAAACTTTTTTAAAAATTAATGTAATCTAAAGTAATCACAAGTTATCATGATTTCATGATGGAAATAAGTAATCAGATGTAATTGATTACATTAAAAAATGACTGTAATCAGCTTGTAATCGATTACTTTTAAAATCCAAAGTAACTGTAATTTAATCGATTACTTTTGAAAGTAATCGACCCCATCCCTGGTTCGGGTATGGAGACACCTAAATTCTGCATACAAACAACAACATGCATTGTTAACGAAGGCCTTTGGTGGAGGCGGTGTAACAGTATGAGGATGTTTCTCTTTGCGGTGTAAACTGGAGCTGCACATTCTTGATGGCGCCTTAACTGCTCAAAAGTACAGGGACAACATACTAAGCCAATTAGGTGTGCCTCATTTCGATGATCATTCATTAGCAAGTCGACCTGTACTAATGGATGACAACGCTAGACCTCATCGGGCCCAAATAGTTAAAGACTATCTTCGCCAAGAAGCCATTGAAACAATGCCTTGGCGCGCCATGTCCCCAGATATGAACCCAATGATGAACATGCGTGGGATTACCTTGGTCGTCGAATTAATCAGAGGACTCCAAGATTTAAAAGCTTGCAGGAATTGAAAGACGCTTTAACACAGGAATGGAGACAATTCCCCAAAAATCGCCTAAGATGACTTGTCCACAGTATGAGAAGGCATGTAAAAGAACTGTACAAAAGTCGTGGTGGATATACACATCATAATTATTAAATATCTATGCTTATAAAATGTTGAAAATTAATGACTCTTTAAATGCCAATAAAGTTAAACATGCTTATTGCTAGCAACTTTTGTCAACAACAAATTAAAGTGAAACTTTAAATTCTACATTTTTTGACTTGTATTCTTTTCAGATGATCAGATGATTTCGAAACATACATTGTCTAAGGAGAGTTTAGATCTACTCTTTAAAAAAATCAAATAATTAATTGGATTGGTCTAAGAGAATGAAAAAGTTTCAAGAATTTTCACAGAAAGAGTGATGGTCCCTAACTTTTGTGTAAGTGTTTATTAATTTTCAGGTTTTATTTTTCTGGTGACCTTCTACAGGAGGTAGGGTATAACCGAGTTCTGTATTTTGTATCGGAATTTTAGCTGGTACAAAGTACTGGTAGGTTTGGAGAATCACATCTATAGAATTAGTGTTTTTTTTTTTTTTTTTTTTTTTTTTTTTTTTTTTTTACATGTAAAATTAATCTGATATCTGTTGAAAGTAAATAGGGAAATAATGTGCACTGTATAGGAAGTTTTATGATTGTACTTATTACAGTCAATGACATATAAAAATGGTAAGATGTCAGCGTAAAATGTGCAAGTCAGAAAAGCTAGAGAGTAATGTGTATTCTTTAGGGGTGAATGATGAATCGGATTTGCAAAAATGTCTGGAATTGGAAAGACGGTTTGATCATGTCCTGTATTGCATTGAGATATTTCTCGGTACATCGTGAGTTTTGTGAGTTAATCTTCTATCGGCATTTGATAAAAGGGGGAGGGTATCTTAAGACAGTCTCTAAGAAATTAAAAAACTTGCATGTCCAGGTGTAACGCTACGTCAAGTTTCCAATGGATAATAACTCTCTCCCCCTCCCCCGCATTCTCTGTGAGTATGCACTGTTACAACGCACTTTGAAAAATTACGCACTTTGAAAAAAAATTTCAAAGTGCGTTAAATTTGGGACCAAGTTAACGCACTTTGAAACAATTTTTTTTTTTCAAAGTGCGTTAATGTACCACATTAACGCACTTTGAAAAAAAAAGTGTGCACGGCTTGGTCAATATTCTTGTTAATATTAAATATGATTATTTGAACCTGGTTGGATAACATTTCAGTGATGACGTCACTTCAGGTTCTGAGATATAGGCCTAGACGTTTTAAAGATTTTTAGGGGTTGTTTTGTTCCCAAAGGTTCTCGTAAATATTCTAAAAGGAAAGTGGGTCTTTTAGATATACTGAAGGAATGATTGTTTTATAGCAGAATTTCGTTTCTTTTTTTTTTATTTTATCCAGTCTGTAATAAGTTTGGTAGATGTAGGGGACGATAAGTGACTTAAAGCATCGCATTCTTCTTAGGGAAAAGGGAGCAATTATGATTTTTCCATACCATGAAATTCTCTCTCTCTCTCTCTCTCTCTCTCTCTCTCTCTCTCATATTCATCTATCTATCTATTATGAACACATATGAAACAATGGTTGACTCATTTATTTGATAGTAAGGAAGATAAACCTTAGCCACA